CCACCTGGACGTGTGGGGCCCAGCCCGCGTCCGTGGACAGGACCACGAGCGGTACTTCCTGCTGGTCGTCGACGACTACACGCGTTACACCACGGTCTTCCCCTTGCGCACCAAGGGTGAGGTCCCTGATGTTTTGATCCCTTGGATCCGCGCTGCTCGTCTCCAGCTCCGCCGGCGGTTCGGGACAGAGTTTCCCGTCCTGCGTCTGCACTCTGACAGAGGTGGTGAGTTTTCCTCCGACCTCTTGGCAGCCTACTGTGCGGAGCACGGCATCACCCAGTCGTTCACGCTTCCGGCCTCTCCGCAACAGAATGGGGTTGCTGAGCGCCGCATTGGCTTGGTCATGGAGGTCGCTCGTACCTCCATGGTCCATGCGGCTGCCCCCCATTTTCTGTGGCCGTTTGCGGTCCGGTACGCCGCGCATCAGCTCAACCTCTGGCCCCGTGTCTCCTTGCCGGAGACCTCGCCCACACTGCTGTGGACGGGGGAGGTTGGCGATGCGTCGCGTTTCCGGGTCTGGGGTTCTCGTGCCTTTGTCCGCAATACCACCGCGGACAAGCTCTCCGCCCGCGCTATTCCCTGTGTCTTCCTTGGCTTTGTCCCTGACGCGCCTGGTTGGCAGTTTTACCACCCCACCTCGCGCCGTGTCTTCCCCTCTCAGGACGTCACTTTTGACGAGTCAGTTTCCTTTTACCGTCTCTTTCCCTACCGCACTGCCCCTCTCCCCCCCCCCGCCGCTCTTCCTCGCTCCAGGTGCTACCCAGGTAGACCCCCTCCCCGCTCCCGGTCCTGCTCCTTCAGGTGTGTCTCAGGTAGACCCTCCTCCTTTGCCTCCGCCGGTTGAGGTCACTGGTGACTCAGGTCCTGCTTGGGGTGCTGCTTCTGGGGGTGCTGAGCCTGGGGGTGCTGAGCCTGGAGGTGCGGAGCCTGGGGGTGCGGAGCCTGGGGGTGCGGAGCCTGGGGGTGCTGCGCCTGGGGGTGCTGAGTCTGGAGGTGCTGAGCCTGGAGGTTCTGAGTCTGGGAGTGCTGCGCCTGGGGGCACTGTGGGGTCTGGTGAGCGGTCTCCCTGGAGCGGCCGTCTCCGCAGTCGCTCCGCTGGTGCTTCGCCGCTGCACCCTAGTCGTCGACCCCCTCTCTCCCCACAGCAGCTGCGTGAGTGGTACGCTGGTCGTCAGGGTCGCGCTGCTGGAGCTAGGGGCCCTACTGCGGGAGGCGCTGGCGCTGGTGCCTCTACTACTGGAGTCGTTTCTACTGGAGGTTCTGGAGCTACTGAGGGTGCTGGCGCTGGAGGTTCTGGAGCTGCTGAGGGTGCTGGTGCTGGAGGTTCTGGAGCTACTGCGGGTGCTGGCGCTGAGGGTTCTGAGTCTGCTGCTGTGCGGTCTCCGTGGAGTGGCCGCCTTCGTCCGCGTGTGCCTCTCACCTCACAGCAGCTGCACGACTGGTACGGTCGCCGTCAGGGTCGCGCTGCTGGAGCCCGGGGCTCTGCTGCTGGAGGTACTTCTGCTGACGTCCCTGGAGCTGGGAGTGGTGCTGGTCCTTTGTCTACTGGAGGTGCTGGAGTCGCTGGTCCCGGAGGTGCTCGTACTGGAGGTACTGGAGCTGCTGGGGCTGAGGGTGCTGCGTCTGGAGGTGCTGCTGCTGGAGACACTGAGGCTGGAGACCCTGGGACTGGAGGTGCTGGTTCTAGGGGTGCTGCTGCTGGAGACATTGAGGCTGGAGACCCTGGGACTGGAGGTGCTGGTTCTGGGGGTGCTGCTGCTGGAGGCACTGGGGTTGGAGACCCTGGGCCTGGAGGTGTCGGTTCTGGGGCTGGAGCTTCTGGAGCTGCTGGAGGTGCTGGAGCTGCTGGAGGTACTGGAGCTGCTGGAGTTGTCGGTACTCGTGCAGCTGTGCCGACACGACTGTTCTTCGCTCCGCCGTCTCCGTCGTCTCTGCCGCCGCCTGACTCTGTTCTTCGTCAGGTTCTTACTCTCTCGTCGTCTACTGGTCTTCCGTTACTGCCTGGCTCACCGCTGCCTGCTCCTTCTCCTTACACTGGGCAGACAGGTAGTCTTGCTGAGCGTCGTGAGCCTGCGTCGCGTCCTGTCTCGCCTGTTCGTCCTAGTCGTACCGGTCGTCGTGTTCCTCGTCCGCGTCCGCCGGCTGTCCCCGGCACACGCCTTGTAGCCCTGCGTCGGTCCCCTACTCCGGAGCGTACTCCTCTTCCGTCTCCCCCTGCGTCCTCTTTGCCTGACGTCGCGGACCCTGAGTCTGACCGGTTTCGTGCTGAGCACCCTACTGTCACGCGTCTGCTAGCCACTGTTGTCACTGACCCGTCGTTTGAGTCTGCTGCTGCGTCTGCCCTGGTCGCTGAGCTCGTTGACTTTGCTGCTGTGTGTCGTCTAGACTACGCTGCCAGTCTTGTTGCTGAGTCTGTGTCTGCCTGTCCTCCGTCCGTCGGGGGTGAGTGTGCTCTTGGCACGGACGTCCTTGAGGACAGGCACGAGGACCTTGAGTGTCTTGCAGTCGCTGCGCCTCATCTCGTGGCCATGCTGCTTGCCCCTAAGGGAGACCCGGATGCTATAGACATCCCCACACCGCGCTCTTACGCTGAGGCGATCGCGGGTCCCTACTCCTCTCAGTGGCAGGCAGCCATGGACGCAGAGATGGCATCCTGGAAGTCCACAGGCACTTACGTCGATGAGGTTCCCCCTCCTGGGGCGAACATCGTCGATGGCATGTGGATTTTCAGGGTGAAGCGGCCGCCAGGTTCTCCGCCTGTCTTCAAGGCGCGTTACGTTGCTCGAGGCTTCAGTCAGCGAGAGGGAGTTGACTTCTTCCAGACCTTCTCCCCCACCCGGAAGATGACCACTCTTCGGGTGCTGCTGCACGTTGCCGCTCAGCGTGACTACGAGCTTCACTCCCTTGACTTCAGCACAGCTTTCCTACAGGGCAGCCTGCACGAGGAGATTTGGCTGCGCCGCCCACCTGGCTTCACTGGGTCGTTCCCTCCTGGTACCCAGTGGAGCCTCCGCCGGCCAGTCTACGGTCTCCGCCAGGCACCCCGTGAGTGGCACGACACACTGAGGACTACCCTTGCGGCTCTTGGGTTTGCGCCTTCGACTGCTGACCCTTCACTGTTTCTACGCACCGACACTTCGCTGCCGCCGTTCTATATCCTCGTGTACGTCGACGACTTGGTCTTTGCTACTGCTGACACTGAGGCCCTCGCCCTGGTGAAGTCCGAGCTGGTGAAGTCCGAGCTGCAGAAGAGACACACGTGCACAGACCTGGGTGAGCTGCGCAGCTACCTTGGCTTGCAGATCACCCGGGACCGAGCACGCCGCACCATCACACTGACTCAGTCACACATGGTGCAGCAGGTCCTTCAGCGCTTCGGCTTCACCTGGTCCTCAGCACAGGCCACTCCTCTGGCTATAGGTCACTCGCTCTCAGCTCTGCCTTTGGATGAGTCCGTAGAGCCGAGTGGTCCTTACCCAGAGCTAGTGGGCTGCCTCATGTACCTGATGACTTGCACTCGTCCTGACCTTGCGTACCCTCTTGGCCTTCTGGCTCGCTACGTGGCTCCTGGTCGGCACCGAAAGGTGCACTGGGATGCTGCGAAGAGGGTACTGCGCTACTTGTGCAGTACATCAGGCATGGGGCTCGTGCTTGGAGGACGGCGAGAGGTGGTCCTCACTGGGCACTCAGACGCTTCTTGGGTTGACGACCAGGCTACGCAGCGGTCGTCACAGGGTTACACTTTCAGCCTTGGCTCTGGCTCTGTTTCTTGGCGTTCTACTCGCTCGTCTTCTGTTCTCAGCTCCAGCTGTGAGGCTGAGATCTACGCCACCGCCATGGCTGCTCAGGAGTTACGCTGGCTCACCTACCTGCTGACCGACCTGGGAGAGCGGCCTCGTTCTCCTCCAGTTCTGTACGTTGACAACAAGGCTGCCATTGCTTTGTGTGAGGAGCATAGACTGGAGCACAGAACGAAGCACATCGCTCTACGTTACTTCCTGGCTCGAGAGTTGCAGCAGCGTGGTCAGCTTCGTCTTGCACACGTGGCCACTCGGGCCAACACTGCTGATATATTCACCAAGGCACTTCCGTCTGGTGATCATCAGCGCTTTTGTACTTTGTTAGGCCTTGTGCCTACGTTTCCACACTTGCTGTAGTCTTTTGTGTGTACTGTGCTCTATATTTATACCTGCATGCTTGCTCTTGCTAGGTATTGATCACTGTACTGCTCTTGTTGCTTATATATATCTCTGCATGTGGACTGGCCTTGTGGCCCTTTGCTTGTGCTCAGTTTGTGTGGTGACGTTGTGATCCACCCTGAGCTTGTTTTGTGTTTCTTGACTGGTCTTGTGACCCCTTGTTCTCCCCCACTTTGCCTATGGGGGTGTGTCAAGCTGTATAAGTTATATGCTTGTGTAGGCTGTAGTGGGGTAGCCCATAAAGGGTACAACCCAATGTTAGGGTTAGCATATGTACCCAACTCTGTTTCAATCCAACTCATTCCTGCCTGTGATTTCAACAGGTTCCCCTCTTTTCCCCCTTGCTTCGCCACATTTCCCACCCTGGTTCCCCTGTGACCCCCCCTTCTTCCCCTCATTTTCCCCCCTTCTTCCCCTCATTTCCCCCCCTTCTTCCCCTCATTTTCCCCCCTTCTTCCCCTCATTTCCTCCCCTTCTTCCCCTCATTTCCCCCCTTTTCCCTCATTTCCCCCCCTTCTTCCCCTCATTTCCGCCCTTCTTCCCCTCATTTTTCCCCATTCTTCCCCTCATTTTTCCCCCTTCTTCCCCTCATTTTCCCCCCTTCTTCCCCTCATTTCCCCCCCTTCTTCCCCTCATTTCCCCACCTGCTTGCCTTCACAGTCTCCTTGCTCCCTTCCTGTTCCCCCGCCCACAGTATGTGTGCACCTCCGAGTACATGGTGCAGTCACTGTGCTCACCGCCGTTGAGGTGTGTAGATGTGCGTCCGTGTGCATGTTTGTGTGCCTGCACCTATGTGCATGAATGCTCCGTGACTGCTTTCTACACCCCTCTCTCCTCGGTCCCTCCGTCCCTCCCTCCTGCTTCCCTCGACCCTCTGCCTCGTGCATTCCTCCCCTATCATCCCTTCCTCCCCTATCATCCCTTCCTCCCCTATCTCCCTTCCTCCCCTATCATCCCTTCCTCCCCTATCATCCCTTCCTCCCCTATCATCCCTTCCTCCCCTATCAGCCCTTCCTCCCCTATCATCCCTTCCTCCCCTCTATCATCCCTTCCTCCCCTCTATCATCCCTTCCTCCCCTCTCTCACCCTTCCTCCCCTCTCTCACCCATTCCTCCCCTCTCTCACCCATTCCTCCCCTCTCTCACCCATTCCTCCCCTCTCTCACCCATTCCTCCCCTCTCTCACCCATTCCTCCCCTCTCTCACCCATTCCTCCCCTCTCTCACCCATTCCTCCCCTCTCTCACCCATTCCTCTCTCTCATCTGTCCTCCCGTCTCTCATCCCATCCACCCCTCTCTCATCCCTTTCTCCCCTCTCTCATCCCTCCTCCCTCCCCTCTCATCCCATCCCCCCTCTCTCTCCCCTCCTCTCTCATCCCTCCTCCCCCTCTCTCCTCCTCCCCCCCTCTCTCTTCCCCCCTCTCTCTCGCATCTTGTCCCCCACTATCCTCCTCTCTCCCCCCGTCCTCCTCTCTCCCTTTCTCCCCCGCTCTCCCCCTACCCCCCTCACTCATCCCTGCCCTCCCTTCTCCCTTCTCTTCTCCTCATGTCCCCGCCTCCTTTCCCTTATTTCCCCTCTCCAATCCAACCCCTCGTTCCCTTCCCTCCGCCCCCCCGTTTCTCCCTTTTCTTCCCCATTGCTCTCGGTTTCCCCCATTGTGTGCCTTCATTTCCCCCACTGCTACCACTCCTCTTCCCCCCCCTTCTTCCCCTCCTTTTCTCCCCTGTTGCTTGTCCTCTGTTTTGCCTGTGCCTTTCATCAATCTTCCCCCTGCTTGCACCCTCTCAATCCCCTGCGTTCCCTCCCTTCCCTGTTTCTATATTCCCACCTTCCCTCACGTGAGTTTTGCTTTGCAGCATCCAACGGCATATTACAGTACGAAACTTTGAGACTACTGAAGCTGCTGTCACGGTAGCCTCTGTTAGTTTTGTGTGTGACGCTTGTACAAAAGAACAGTATTCGAATCAGGCGATAATATGTAAACCTTTTAGAACCATATTTTTTTTTGGGTGTTGTGAACACACATGATACAAGCATGCCGTATCAGCATACAATACAAGCTCAAGCATTTGCTCGAGGCTTGGATGTTCCATTTTAAGTCTGCAAAGCGGTCCCCTTACGCAGTGTAGCTCACTTGTGCCTCTGCGACGCTGAAAGCAGGGGCAAAGGGAGGCGGCACATCCATGCGCCTCGTCTGAACCTTGCCTGGGATGACGAGGGGTGAGGGGATAGGACAGGGCGGGGTGAGAGGCCTAGGACAGGGCGGGGTGAGAGAGAGGAAAGGACAGGGCGGGGTGAGAGAGAGGAAAGGACAGGGCGGGGTGAGAGAGAGGAAAGGACAGGGCGGGGTGAGAGAGAGGAAAGGACAGGGCGGGGTGAGAGAGAGGAAAGGACAGAGGAGAAAAACTTCACTCTTTGTTTCGAAGACCTCACGATCCCCCCTTCCCCCTCCTACCATAGCCAGCCGTAAACCAATCTTTCCCGTCTCCCACTTCCCCTCCTCCCCACTTCCCCTCCTCCCCTTCCCCACTCAGCCCCATTTTCCCCCTTCTCCCCCCCTCCAGCTCACTCACCCGCAGGCGCGACCCCTCGCGCATGGCCTGCGCCAGCTTGCGCAGCACCATGCAGTCTGCCAGCACACGATCCTCACACATCTGACGGGAGGGGAGGAAGCAGAGGGGCGGAAAGGGCACGGTGAGAGGGCAAAAAGGGAAATGTTATGAGTTGTTCAAAACAAGCACTAAGAGGTCTGCGGGTCTTCGCACACGTGGGTGCTGGTGAAAGGGGACACGAAGGGGAACGGGTATGGAGACGAGGGGAAAGGGCGGAGAGGGCAGTGAGGGGGAAGGCTGGGGTTTTCGAGATGCCCCTAGACTAGCTTGTGCTGCAGCATGCTGGCCGCGCGCATGCAGTCCTTGCACCACTGCAGTCTGCAGGAGCAGGTGGGGGTTGAGGAAGGGGGGGAGAGGGGTAAGGGCGCATGCGATGCCGAGGGGAAGGGCGCATGCGACACCGAGGGGAAGGGCGCATGCGACACCGAGGGGAAGGGCGCATGCGACACCGAGGGGAAGGGCGCATGCGACACCGAGGGGAAGGGCGCATGCGACACCGAGGGGAGAGGCGAGTCACTCAGGAAGGTAGGAGAGGCGCTGTGATGGCACGAAGGGAGTCAATTCGCTGATAGGGAGATCGTGACAAGGGTGGATAGAGCGCATGTAGGGCAGGGCGCGAAGCAAGGGAGAGAGAGGAGTAGGTTGCAGAGACGAGTAAGCGCGAAAGCGTCGAAGGGACAACGAGAACGTGTGGTGAGCACTACGCGCGACACGCAGACGGAAGAGATCATCTTCCGTCTTCACGTCGCGGTATAAGACGAATTAATGGTGTGAGGGGAGTTACCCCCCGAACTTTGGCGTGTAGCGCATTGTGCAACCCTAAGGCGCTGACGACGATAGCGAAGAGAGGCGTGGCGTCCGGACCTGGTTCGCGCGGGAGTGGGCTGCGTAATGGGGGGCGGGTATAGAACATCGTCCGCCCGATACGAAAGACGCGTGCTGCGTACGCCGTCGCGGCGAAATGCGCGCCTATAATGCTGTGCAATGTCGCCGAAGTAAAACGCATCCAGTGCGGGCGAGATAAACACGGGGCGGCCGAGATAAATTCGATGGCCGTAAACCATAAGATCCCCTCATTTGATGACGGCGTAATTGTGCTACTCTCGCTGTCTAGTTTGTCGGTTGCCTGCACTAATGCTGTGCGCTAGAGTTGTGGTTGCTAAGCTATTACCTGCTCACAATATGAGTGTCGTGGTACGAGAGTCAAGCGCGTCATGGTTCACAAACTGCCTGGTTGGGACCCAAGTTCCCAACTCTCAGTTGGCCCGCCGCAATTGACGACGGGGGAGAAACAATCCGCCAAGTCCGCAACACTGAACTTGTGCATTCGCCGGACTCCCAACACAAACAGGGTAACCACGTGGAGGCAAGTGATAAACCTTTGCCTCCACCCCCCCCAAAGTGCACCCTTGGGTGACTTGAACGAAGTGAGCGGAAGCATGAAACACCTGGGCGAGGAATGCAAAGCGTTCTGGCGACGCCAATCAACTTCGTGAGGGGTAGGGTTGGGGGGAAACAATCGCGGACTGGCGGAAGAACAAAGTCTCCCCCACACAACCACACGGGATTTCAAGCATACGCTGATTCTACATTCGAAGTGAATTAGCTTAGTTTCCGCCCATAGTTAGTGCTCGCGCCAACGTTCTTAGTATACCATCATTCCTTTCCGCCCTTGCGTCACAACGACTCTCACTTTTCCACCTCTTGCAAATGCTCCTACTAGTCGCCCTGCGACGCAACTCCCGGCCCCCCACGTTCCTGCGCCTTCCGCGTCGAAGCGCATGCGCCTTGCTGCCTCCCCGCAGATGCAAGATCTGCCACGGTGACACGGACGGTGGGGATCTGCGGTAGTCGTCAGGGAGCCACACTGACGCGACGCCCATGCACAACGTCAGGCGCTGTGTAGTTGCATTGCTCCGCACCCCCCCTCGTTACCTTTTCCCCACTGCATTTACGCTTCCGTCTTGCCAAGCGGGTGTCTATCTGCGGTGGTGTGGCAGATGTCTGGCGGCGTGGAGCCAAGGCTTTAACTGTCCCGACTGGTTTGAGTCTTGAGACGTCTCAAAAAACAGTCCCCATGACTCCCGTTCCTACCCGCGCTTCAACGATTTCCGACGCCGCTGACAGATCGCAACCTGTCAGCGGCGCGCCGCCGGTGCTGCAGTTCGGCGAATGGGGCGCCGACCGGTACTTGGGGAAACGGAGCGGCGCCAATCGCGGGCGTAGAAGCATCGGTGGAGCCGATGACGGCGGGGGTGGCGGCGGGGAAAGGGGAAGCGGAGTGCTTCAGCGGCCCGCTCGCTGCGGGGATTATCGCGCGAAATACGCGGATCGAAGCGACGCGTTCGTGGTCATCGACAATGGCTCGCACCGCTGCCGAATAGGGTGGGTGCCGTACGGAGTGGGTGCCGTACGGAGAAGGCGCGGGGTAGGCGCGGGGCGGGCGTTTTCTGGAGTAGGTGTTATCAAATGTAGGTGTTTCCTACGATGGGTGGTACCCATAGTCAACTCAAAATTCCCATGAGTGCTCAGGTTGTGTGACGAACCCAGATGCGTATGGCAGCATCGGTTATCCCAGGTGGCAGCATTGGTTATCCCAGGTGGAAGCATCGGTTATCCCAGGTGGCAGCATCGGTTATCCCAGGTGGCAGCATCGGTTGTCCCAGGTGGCAGCATCGGTTGTCCCAGGTGGCAGCATCGGTTGTCCCAGGTGGCAGCATCGGTTGTCCCAGGTGGCAGCATCGGTTGTCCCAGGTGGCAGCATCGGTTGTCCCAGGTGGCAGCATCGGTTGTCCCAGGTGGCAGCATCGGTTGTCCCAGGTGGCAGCATCGGTTATCCCAGGTGGCAGCATCGGTTGTCCCAGGTGGCAGCATCGGTTGTCCCAGGTGGCAGCATCGGTTGTCCCAGGTGGCAGCATCGGTTGTCCCAGGTGGCAGCATCGGTTATCCCAGGTGGCAGCATCGGTTGTCCCAGGTGGCAGCATCGGTTGTCCCAGGTGGCAGCATCGGTTATCCCAGGTGGCAGCATCGGTTGTCCCAGGTGGCAGCATCGGTTGTCCCAGGTGGCAGCATCGGTTGTCCCAGGTGGCAGCATCGGTTATCCCAGGTGGCAGCATCGGTTGTCCCAGGTGGCAGCATCGGTTGTCCCAGGTGGCAGCATCGGTTGTCCCAGGTGGCAGCATCGGTTGTCCCAGGTGGCAGCATCGGTTATCCCAGGTGGCAGCATCGGTTGTCCCAGGTGGCAGCATCGGTTGTCCCAGGTGGCAGCATCGGTTGTCCCAGGTGGCAGCATCGGTTGTCCCAGGTGGCAGCATCGGTTATCCCAGGTGGCAGCATCGGTTGTCCCAGGTGGCAGCATCGGTTGTCCCAGGTGGCAGCATCGGTTATCCCAGGTGGCAGCATCGGTTGTCCCAGGTGGCAGCATCGGTTGTCCCAGGTGGCAGCATCGGTTGTCCCAGGTGGCAGCATCGGTTATCCCAGGTGGCAGCATCGGTTGTCCCAGGTGGCAGCATCGGTTGTCCCAGGTGGCAGCATCGGTTATCCCAGGTGGCAGCATCGGTTGTCCCAGGTGGCAGCATCGGTTGTCCCAGGTGGCAGCATCGGTTATCCCAGGTGGCAGCATCGGTTGTCCCAGGTGGCAGCATCGGTTGTCCCAGGTGGCAGCATCGGTTATCCCAGGTGGCAGCATCGGTTATCCCAGGTGGCAGCATCGGTTGTCCCAGGTGGCAGCATTGGTTATCCCAGGTGGCAGCATCGGTTATCCCGGGTGTCATCTGCTGCCATCCGCCTCCAAGGCACCCCCCTTTCTTCCCCCAACCCCCCTTTCTTCCCCCAACCCCCCCTTCTTTCCCCAACCCCCCCTCCCCTCCCCTCCCCCCCCACCCTCCCCCCGTTCACCTTCCCCTCCATTGTTTCACAATGCTCCCCTTGATTCCTCTCTCCACCGCTCTGTACCCTCTCATCCTTCCGCCGACCTTTCTCCCCGTCTTCCTCGCCCCCCTAGTCTGTGCCTGCTGCTCTTTCCGCACACCCGCGTGTCAAGACATGTCGGGGTTAGCAGCAAACCTGAAAAGTCTTCCCCCTCCCCCTGCTATGTGCCTGCTGCTCTTTCCGCACACCCGCGTTTCCCGCCCCCTTCCACCCCTCTCCCCCGTTGTCTCCTCCCCCCCCTCTTTCCCCCCTCTCCCCGCTCCCCCGCTCCCTCCCCCCTCCCACCTTCCCCTTCCCCCTTCCCCCTGTGCCATGCGCGCAGGTGGGGAGGGGAGGCGGATCCGCGGGTGGACTTCAGGAGCGTCGTGGGGCGGCCGCGGCCACGCAGTGGGGGTGAGCAGGGGGGAGATTGGGTGCAGGGGGAAGGGCGTGAGCTTGGGGGAAGGCGGATCCGCGGGTGGACTTCAGTAGCGTCGTGGGGCGGCCGTGACCTAGGAGCGGGGGTGAGGGGGGAGGGGGGGTGAGCGGAGGGGGTGAGCAGTGGGGCTGGGAAGAGTAGGGGGTAAGGTGATGGAACGATGGGGGATGGGGCGAGGGGGGGGGGGGAGAGAAAAAGGGTGAGGGTGGAACGGGGTTGAAGGGGGGAGAAAGGGGGGTGAGGACGGAGGGGCGGGAGAGCGTGAGAGGGTGAGAAGTGAGAGGCTGTGCTTTGCCGCACCGCCCATGCTCATCGTCTTCTCCTCCTCGTCCCCCCTATTTCACATCACTTTACAGAATTTAACAAAAGATGACCCCTCCCCTCACCTCACCACACACAGCCAGGCTCACAAATAACAGTGGTGGGTGACCGGGACACCCCACCTGGCCGGCGCTGAGGGCGCTGGAGCTGGAATAACTTAAGCTCGCCTCGCCCCTTCCCTTCCCTTCCCTTCCCTTCCCTTCCCTTCCCTTCATCCCATCTTCTCACCATTGAGTCATTGACCATGCCCTGCTTGCCCACCCATCCATCCGTCACCTCACTTCACCTCCATCAACCCTCTGCCAGGCTCACAGGTAACAGTGATGGGCGACTGGGACCCCGGCTGCCCGGCGCTGAGGGCGCTGGAGTTGACGCCACTGCCAGCAACTGGCAGCCGCTTTGCCTTGCCTTGCCCATGTTCCCCTTGACCCCTCCCCACCATGCCAGGCTCGCAAGTGACGGTGGTGGGCGACTGGAACCCCGCGTGGCCGGCGCTGAGGGCGCTGGAGTTGACAGTGACACCACTGTATTCCCTGCCCTGCCCTTCATCCCATCCTCTCACCATTCACTGGACCCTGCTTCCCCACCCATCCATCCATCCGTCACCGCACCCCACCCTACCACACCGCCAGGCTCGCAGGTGACGGTGGTGGGCGATTGGGACCCCGCGTGGCTGGCACTGAGGGCGCTGGAGTTTGGGCGGCAGAGCATCCGATCGCCCTTTGAGTCCAACGTCATTTATAACTTTGAGCTCATGGAATGCGTATGTGTGGCCGCCACCCACTTGCTGCCCTCGCTCCCCTGCTGCTCTTCTTCCCTCCCTCAACCTCGATCGCCCTTTGAGTCCAATGTCATCTATAACCTCGAGCTCATGGAATGCGTAGCCCTGCCCCTGCTTGCTGCCCTCCCTCCCTCGCGTGCTGCCCTCCCTCCCTCGCGTGCTGCCCTCAATCCCACGCTCTCCCTCCCCATCCTCCACTCGCCCCTTGAGTCCAAGTCGTTTACAACTTGGAGCTCATGGAATGCGTATGGCCCTTGCTTGCCGCCCTCGGATCTGTGCTCATGAAGAAGGGCAGCAGTAGGCAAGGTCGCCTTTAGCAAAGGGACGATAGTCAACTAGTGAGAAAAGTAACCCTTGAAAAAATTGATTAAGATCCGAACGTACAGCTCAGTTTAAAAAATGCGAGCTCATGGAATGCGTATGGCCCTTGCTTGCCGCCCTCCTGCACTGCCCGCCCTCCCTCCCTGGCCCCCTCGCTCCGCCTCTCTATCCCTCGCTTGCCCTTTACTTCAAACGACATCTGCAACTTTGGAATGTGTTCTCTATCCCTCGCTTGCCCTTTACTTCAAACGACATCTGCAACTTTGGAATGTGTTCTCTATCCCTCGCTTGTCCTTTACTTCAAACGACATCTGCAACTTTGGAATGTGTTCTCTATCCCTCGCTTGCCCTTTACTTCAAACGACATCTGCAACTTTGGAATGTGTTCTCTATCCCTCGCTTGCCCTTTACTTCAAACGACATCTGCAACTTTGGAATGTGTTCTCTATCCCTCGCTTGCCCTTTACTTCAAACGACATCTGCAACTTTGGAATGTGTTCTCTATCCCTCGCTTGCCCTTTACTTCAAACGACATCTGCAACTTTGGAATGTGTTCTCTATCCCTCGCTTGCCCTTTACTTCAAACGACATCTGCAACTTTGGAATGTGTTCTCTATCCCTCGCTTGCCCTTTACTTCAAACGACATCTGCAACTTTGGAATGTGTTCTCTATCCCTCGCTTGCCCTTTACTTCAAACGACATCTGCAACTTTGGAATGTGTTCTCTATCCCTCGCTTGCCCTTTACTTCAAACGACATCTGCAACTTTGGAATGTGTTCTCTATCCCTCGCTTGCCCTTTACTTCAAACGACATCTGCAACTTTGGAATGTGTTCTCTATCCCTCGCTTGCCCTTTACTTCAAACGACATCTGCAACTTTGGAATGTGTTCTCTATCCCTCGCTTGCCCTTTGCTGCACTTTCTCCTTCGCTGCAGGAACTTTCAGCCTGCCTTTTCGTTTCTCTCAATCTCCTGGCCTTCCTCCTCCACCTGCCCTTCCTCCTAAGTGGAGAAAGACGCGTCCTGCGTCTAGGACGCTTGCGTCCAGACGCAGCGTCTTAGACGCAGGACGCTAGAGAAGGGGCTTTAGGACGCACGAAAAGACGCATGCCCGGGCAGGGCAAAAAAACCCCGGGCAGCTGAAAAATGATGTTATAGGGTATGGGAAGGGGGGGGGGGGGGAACGACGATGCACACATTTGAGGCAAAATCGCCCCCTTTACATTTCCAGGGTTTAGGGTTTACGAAGGAGAATAGTCTTGGTAAACCCTCTAGGGTGTTTTTGATGGTCGAAATGGGTTGGGGGGGTCGACATGACGCGAAATTGACAGTCGCGTCGAAATCGTTGAAGTCAATTTCGCGCTGAGGCATTTTTTTTTTCCGGTCAGCCCGAAAAAAAAACGGGGTGCGTCCTGCGTCTGGACGCGCGTCCAGACGCAGGACGCAGCAGGACGCGTGCGTCTTTCTCCACATAGCCTTCCTCCTCCACTCCACCTGGCGGGAATCTGAAGGCTGAGGGAGGGAGGGATGTTTACCTCTTTCTGTCTACAATGTCCTTCACGTGTGTGCACCACCTTCCTCCTTCCCCCTGTAATTTCCCGCCGATTACCCCCCACCCCACCCCCACTCGCTCTCCTTTTTCGCCCCCTTAACGCTTCCCCGCTATACTTCTCAGATCTTTGATTACGCATTTGATAGACTGGGGGTGGAAGGCAGCGGCAGGGTAAACCACCCTGTGTTATTGACCGAGGCGCCCTGCACGCCCCTGTACACACGAGGCAAGACAGCAGAGCTCATGTTTGAAACATACGGCGTGCCTGCGCTGGGTAAGTTGAGGACATGCCGTGTTGTGTTATTGACCTCCCTGCTCGCCCCTGTACACACGAGGCAAGACAGCAGAGCTCATGTTTGAAACATACGGCGTGCCTGCGCTGGGTAAGTTGAGGACATGCCGTGTTGTGTTATTGACCTCCCTGCTCGCCCCTGTACACACGAGGCAAGACAGCAGAGCTCATGTTTGAAACATACGGCGTGCCTGCGCTGGGTAAGTTGAGGACATGCCGTGTTGTGTTATTGACCTCCCTGCTCGCCCCTGTACACACGAGGCAAGACAGCAGAGCTCATGTTTGAAACATACGGCGTGCCTGCGCTGGGTAAGTTGAGGACATGCCGTGTTGTGTTATTGACCGCCCTGCACGCCCCTGTACACACGAGGCAAGACAGCAGAGCTCATGTTTGAAACATACGGCGTGCCTGCGCTGGGTAAGTTGAGGACATGCCGTGTTGTGTTATTGACCTCCCTGCTCGCCCCTGTACACACGAGGCAAGACAGCAGAGCTCATGTTTGAAACATACGGCGTGCCTGCGCTGGGTAAGTTGAGGACATGCTGTGTTGTGTTATTGACCTCCCTGCCCTGGGTAAGACATTACAGTTGTAGCATCCCTGTCCCCAAGTGGTGTGGTGTGGTGTGGTGTGGTGTAGTGAGATGGGGCGTTCTGTGCATGGCCGTTTGGAATGTTTTCCGGTGCCCGTCAGTTGCTAGAGGTGTGCCAGCTTGTGCGGTTTGCCAGGGCGTCACTCCTGTGACACTCACTCAGATATAATGTCGCCTTGTCATGCCATGTCCCACCTGTGATGCTTACTACTGTACCTTGCCTTGCTCAACTTCCAATCCAATCCACGCCTCTCCACTCCTCCCTACCCCTCCCCTCTCCTCCCTTCCTCAATCCTCCCACGCTCACTAAAAGCGCCTGCATGCATGCACCTCGTACCCCCGCCCCCAACGCTCCTCTCGCGTCTCATCTCATCTCATCCCATCCCACCCCTCTCCACCATCCTCCACTGCCCTGCTTGCAGCCTTCGGAGTGGATGGGGTGTTCAGCTATCGCCACAACACCACACAGCACCACTCTGTACCGGACGGTCTGCTGGTCAACTGTGGCCACTCCACCACCCATGTCATGCCCGTACGTGCGCTCTGCTGCCCCCTCGCTCCACTCTCTCACGCTGTTTTCCTCGCTCCCCTGCACTTTCTTTTTTGCTCCTTCAGCCCCCCTCTCTTGCTCTGACTTTTGAGACGTCTCAAAAAAATACACTTTTTACACGTCTCAGAAGTCCTCTCTTGCTCTGAGTTGATTTTTGAGGCGCCTCAAAAATCAACTCCTTCAGCCCCCCTCCCTTGCTCTCGCTCGCACCTCCCCTTTCTCACTCCCTCACCCCTTCTCTGCTTCGTTGCCAGTTGGGTTGGCATGCGGTGATTTTTGGGTAGACTAACGAGTCAGCCCTTGGTGGATCGCGACTCGGTTTTTCACAACTCGAAAGACCCACTGGGATTGTGAAACATTACTCACCCGGGCTTGACCACTTGCTCAGCCTGCCTGCCTGGCATGCTTGCTTGCTTGCCTTCCAAGCTGTGTTCTTCTTCTTCCATCAAGAACCAATCGTGCGTTGCCACGTGGCGCCATGTGTGCAGGCAGATGATCGCAGGGCAGCCTCTGCTGGACGCCACGTGTCGCATTCCCGTTGGCGGATGGCACGTCACTGACTACCTGAAACGCCTTCTCACGCTGCTGTATCCTCAACATGCGTACGTGCCTTCTATTAATTCTCAAAAGTAAATCCTCAACACACGTACGTTCCCTGCATTCTATGCCTTTTTCCCCCCCTCCTTTCCCCCACCCCAATCCCATGTCAACTATCATGCCACGTCACACTCTTATGCCACGTCACTCTCACGCCACGTCACTCTCATGCCACGTCACATGCGCCACCACACCACCCCCACAGCTCTGCCATAACATGGGAGCGAGCTGAGGAGATGAAGTGCCGGAGTGTGTATGTGGCCATTGACTACTCACAGGAGCTCAAGACGTACCAGGTGAGTGAAACCAGTAGGAAGATTCCAATCCAAGGCTCCTAACGGTTTGACATCCATGCTTAGGAGCGAGCTGAGGAGATGAGGAGATGAGGAGATGAGGAGATGAGGAGATGAAGTGCCGGAGCGTGTATGTGGCGATTCATTACTCGCAGGAGCGCAGGACATGTCAGGTGAGCCCGTTTGGGTGAAAGGTGAGGTGCGACGTACAACAGAATAGAGACAAGGCCCTGACAAGGACATAGAGAGCAGAATAGATGAAGTGGCGGAGTGTGCATGTGGCGATTCACTGCTCGCAGGAGCTCAAGGCATACCAGGTGAATAACCGTTAGGCAAGTTCCAAGGCGCATAAATGTTGGGCAGCAATGGCATGGGAGGGATTGAGGCGATGAGATGTGCTCAAGTGCAAGGGTGCGTTGTGTATGTTGCCGTCGACTACACCAACAAGCGGTTTTGAATTCTCAAATATGAGGCGGGCGGCGAACAAGGAGCGGGCGGGTTAGAGGCTGCGCTGTGGGACATGGCGGCTGTGGGACATGGCGGCTGTGGGACATGGCGGCTGTGGGACATGGCGGCTGTGGGACATGGCGGCTGTGGGACCCATGCACCAATGCACCAATGCACCAATGCACCAATGCACCCATGCACCAATGCACCCATGCACCAATGCACCAATGCACCCATGCACCAATGCACCCATGCACCAATGCACCCATGCACCAATGCACCCATGCATGATGCACCAATGCACCCATGCACCAATGCACCAATGCACCCATGCACCAATGCACCCATGCACCAATGCACCCATGCACCAATGCACCCATGCACCAATGCACCCATGCACCAATGCACCCATGCACCAATGCACCCATGCACCAATGCACCCATGCACCAATGCACCCATGCACCAATGCACCCATGCACCAATGCACCCATGCACCAATGCACCCATGCACCAATGCACCCATGCACCAATGCACCCATGCACCAATGCACCCATGCACCAATGCACCCATGCACCAATGCACCCATGCACCAATGCACCCATGCACCAATGCACCCATGCACCAATGCACCCATGCACCAATGCACCCATGCACCAATGCACCCATGCACCAATGCACCCATGCACCAATGCACCAATGCACCCATGCACCAATGCACCAATGCACCAATGCACCCATGCACCAATGCACCAATGCACCCATGCACCAATGCACCAATGCACCCATGCACCAATGCACCCATGCACCCATGCACCAATGCACCAATGCACCCATGCACCCATGCACCCATGCACCCATGCACCCATGCACCCATGCACCCATGCACCCATGCACCCATGCACTGATTCACCTCCACGCACTTTGAGGCGTCACAAAAGCAACCGAAACCCGCACTTTATCCCCTCCCTTCCCTCCTTCCACACCCCCTGCCCCTCTCTCCCCGCCCCACTCCACCCAGTCCCCAGACGCGCCAGTAGTTTCCTGGCAGCTTCCATGGGTGCCGCCCATGGCCCCCCAGGGCCAGAGCCCATCAGAGGAGGAGCAGGCGAGGCCGGCGGCCAACAAGGAGCGCGCGGGACAGCGCCTGCGAGACATGGCGGCTGCTGAGAGACTTTGCAAGTTCTGTATAATGCCTCTCACCCTTGCACTTGCACCCTCTTTCAGGCGTCGCAAAAGTCCCCGAAACCCACGCTTCATCCCCTCCCTTGCCTCCCTCCACCCCCGCTCTTCCCCTCCCTCCACCCCCCCCACTTCCCCTCCCTTCACCCCCCCCTCTTCCCCTTCCTCCTAACTCCCCCACCCTCTGCCCCAATCCGCCCAGTCCCCAGACGCGCCAGTAGTTTCCTGGCAGCTTCCATGGGTGCCACCCATAACCCCCCAGGGCCCATCAGAGGAGGAGCTGGCGAGGCGGGCGGCCAACAAGGAGCGCGCGGGGCAGCGCCTGCGAGACATGGCGGCCGCCAAGCGGGCGGCAAAGCGGGCGGCGGAGTTGGAGGAGGTGGAGGGCGAGGTGGAGGGGTTGAGAGCGGTGATCGAGGATGTGGAGGACGGGGCGGAAGGGAGAGAGGCGATCATGGTGAGCTTTGGACTTTTTTTTTTGCCCGCCAATGTTGATCCTCTCTTCAATGAAGAGTCTTCATCCTCCGCCCTTCATACGCCACTCTTGACACACACACCTCAGAAGTCCTCCTCTTCTTCACTCTCTCCTCCCCTACTCCCACCCCCTTCCTCCTCTCCCACCCCCCCACCTGCTTTCGCGTGTGCGCTGTCCCCACCCTCTCAGAGGCGAGAGGCTTGCTCGCCAAGAGCCTGGCACTGTAAAACCGTCCCCTGCTGTCCCCTCCCCTTTTCCCCCCACCCACCCATCCACCCCCCCACCTGCTCTCCATTGTGCGCTGTCCCCACCCTCTCAGAGGCGAGAGGCTTGCTCGCCAAGAGCCTGGCACTGTAAAACCGTCCCCCGCTGTCCCTCCCCTTTTCCCCCCACCCACCCATCCACCCCCCCACCTGCTCTCCATTGTGCGCTGTCCTCACCCTCTCAGAGGCGAGAGGCTTGCTCGCCAAGAGCCTGGCACTGTAAAACCGTCCCCCGCTGTTTCCTCCCCTTTTTCCCCCACCCACCCATCCACCCCCCCACCTGCTCTCCATTGTGCGCTGTCCCCACCCTCTCAGAGGCGAGAGGCTTGCTCGCCAAGAGCCTGGCACTGTAAAACCGTCCCCCGCTGTCCCCTCCCCTTTTCCCCCCACCCACCCATCCACCCCCCCACCTGCTCTCCATTGTGCGCTGTCCCCACCCTCTCAGAGGCGAGAGGCTTGCTCGCCAAGAGCCTGGCACTGTAAAACCGTCCCCCGCTGTCCCTCCCCTTTTCCCCCCACCCACCCATCCACCCCCCCACCTGCTCTCCATTGTGCGCTGTCCTCACCCTCTCAGAGGCGAGAGGCTTGCTCGCCAAGAGCCTGGCACTGTAAAACCGTCCCCCGCTGTTTCCTCCCCTTTTTCCCCCACCCACCCATCCACCCCCCCACCTGCTCTCCATTGTGCGCTGTCCCCACCCTCTCAGAGGCGAGAGGCTTGCTCGCCAAGAGCCTGGCACTGTAAAACCGTCCCCCCGCTGTCCCCTCCCCTTTTCCCCCCACCCACCCATCCACCCCCCCACCTGCTCTCCATTGTGCGCTGTCCCCACCCTCTCAGAGGCGAGAGGCTTGCTCGCCAAGAGCCTGGCACTGTAAAACCGTCCCCCGCTGTTTCCTCCCCTTTTCCCCCCACCCACCCATCCACCCCCCCACCTGCTCTCCATTGTGCGCTGTCCCCACCCTCTCAGAGGCGAGAGGCTTGCTCGCCAAGAGCCTGGCACTGTAAAACCGTCCCCCGCTGTTTCCTCCCCTTTTCCCCCCACCCACCCATCCACCCCCCCACCTGCTCTCCATTGTGCGCTGTCCCCACCCTCTCAGAGGCGAGAGGCTTGCTCGCCAAGAGCCTGGCACTGTAAAACCGTCCCCCGCTGTTTCCTCCCCTTTTCCCCCCACCCACCCATCCACCCCCCCACCTGCTCTCCATTGTGCGCTGTCCCCACCCTCTCAGAGGCGAGAGGCTTGCTCGCCAAGAGCCTGGCACTGTAAAACCGTCCCCCGCTGTTTCCTCCCCTTTTCCCCCCACCCACCCATCCACCCCCCCACCTGCTCTCCATTGTGCGCTGTCCCCACCCTCTCAGAGGCGAGAGGCTTGCTCGCCAAGAGCCTGGCACTGTAAAACCGTCCGCCGCTGTCCCTCCCCTTTTCCCCCCACCCACCCATCCACCCCCCCACCTGCTCTCCATTGTGCGCTGTCCTCACCCTCTCAGAGGCGAGAGGCTTGCTCGCCAAGAGCCTGGCACTGTAAAACCGTCCCCCGCTGTTTCCTCCCCTTTTTCCCCCACCCACCCATCCACCCCCCCACCTGCTCTCCATTGTGCGCTGTCCCCACCCTCTCAGAGGCGAGAGGCTTGCTCGCCAAGAGCCTTGCACTGTAAAACCGTCCCCCGCTGTTTCCTCCCCTTTTCCCCCCACCCACCCATCCACCCCCCCACCTGCTCTCCATTGTGCGCTGTCCCCACCCTCTCAGAGGCGAGAGGCTTGCTCGCCAAGAGCCTGGCACTGTAAAACCGTCCCCCGCTGTTTCCTCCCCTTTTCCCCCCACCCACCCATCCACCCCCCCACCTGCTCTCCATTGTGCGCTGTCCCCACCCTCTCAGAGGCGAGAGGCTTGCTCGCCAAGAGCCTGGCACTGTAAAACCGTCCCCCGCTGTTTCCTCCCCTTTTCCCCCCACCCACCCATCCACCCCCCCACCTGCTCTCCATTGTGCGCTGTCCCCACCCTCTCAGAGGCGAGAGGCTTGCTCGCCAAGAGCCTGGCACTGTAAAACCGTCCCCCGCTGTTTCCTCCCCTTTTCCCCCCACCCACCCATCCACCCCCCCACCTGCTCTCCATTGTGCGCTGTCCCCACCCTCTCAGAGGCGAGAGGCTTGCTCGCCAAGAGCCTGGCACTGTAAAACCGTCCGCCGCTGTCCCTCCCCTTTTCCCCCCACCCACCCATCCACCCCCCCACCTGCTCTCCATTGTGCGCTGTCCCCACCCTCTCAGAGGCGAGAGGCTTGCTCGCCAAGAGCCTGGCACTGTAAAACCGTCCCCCCGCTGTCCCCTCCCCTTTTCCCCCCACCCACCCATCCACCCCCCCACCTGCTCTCCATTGTGCGCTGTCCCCACCCTCTCAGAGGCGAGAGGCTTGCTCGCCAAGAGCCTGGCACTGTAAAACCGTCCCCCGCTGTTTCCTCCCCTTTTCCCCCCACCCACCCATCCACCCCCCCACCTGCTCTCCATTGTGCGCTGTCCCCACCCTCTCAGAGGCGAGAGGCTTGCTCGCCAAGAGCCTGGCACTGTAAAACCGTCCCCCGCTGTTTCCTCCCCTTTTCCCCCCACCCACCCATCCACCCCCCCACCTGCTCTCCATTGTGCGCTGTCCCCACCCTCTCAGAGGCGAGAGGCTTGCTCGCCAAGAGCCTGGCACTGTAAAACCGTCCCCCGCTGTTTCCTCCCCTTTTCCCCCCACCCACCCATCCACCCCCCCACCTGCTCTCCATTGTGCGCTGTCCCCACCCTCTCAGAGGCGAGAGGCTTGCTCGCCAAGAGCCTGGCACTGTAAAACCGTCCCCCGCTGTCCCTCCCCTTTTCCCCCCACCCACCCATCCACCCCCCCACCTGCTCTCCATTGTGCGCTGTCCTCACCCTCTCAGAGGCGAGAGGCTTGCTCGCCAAGAGCCTGGCACTGTAAAACCGTCCCCCGCTGTTTCCTCCCCTTTTTCCCCCACCCACCCATCCACCCCCCCACCTGCTCTCCATTGTGCGCTGTCCCCACCCTCTCAGAGGCGAGAGGCTTGCTCGCCAAGAGCCTGGCACTGTAAAACCGTCCCCCCGCTGTCCCCTCCCCTTTTCCCCCCACCCACCCATCCACCCCCCCACCTGCTCTCCATTGTGCGCTGTCCCCACCCTCTCAGAGGCGAGAGGCTTGCTCGCCAAGAGCCTGGCACTGTAAAACCGTCCCCCGCTGTTTCCTCCCCTTTTCCCCCCACCCACCCATCCACCCCCCCACCTGCTCTCCATTGTGCGCTGTCCCCACCCTCTCAGAGGCGAGAGGCTTGCTCGCCAAGAGCCTGGCACTGTAAAACCGTCCCCCGCTGTTTCCTCCCCTTTTCCCCCCACCCACCCATCCACCCCCCCACCTGCTCTCCATTGTGCGCTGTCCCCACCCTCTCAGAGGCGAGAGGCTTGCTCGCCAAGAGCCTGGCACTGTAAAACCGTCCCCCGCTGTTTCCTCCCCTTTTCCCCCCACCCACCCATCCACCCCCCCACCTGCTCTCCATTGTGCGCTGTCCCCACCCTCTCAGAGGCGAGAGGCTTGCTCGCCAAGAGCCTGGCACTGTAAAACCGTCCCCCGCTGTTTCCTCCCCTTTTCCCCCCACCCACCCATCCACCCCCCCACCTGCTCTCCATTGTGCGCTGTCCCCACCCTCTCAGAGGCGAGAGGCTTGCTCGCCAAGAGCCTGGCAACTCTCAGGAAAACTCAAAAGCCCTTCTGTCCCCCCTCCCTTTTCTCCCATCTCCCCTTTCCCCTCTCCCCCCTCCACCACCCCTTCCCACAGCTGCTCTCCCGAGTGCGCTGTGCCACGCTTTCAGAAGCCAGAGGCAAGCTCGCCAAGAGCACGGCGACTCTCAGAATTCTCAACTCTGCTCCCATTCCCTCTTCCTCCTCCCCTCTCCCCTCTTCCTCTTCCCCTCTCCCCTCTTCCCCCAGCTGCTCTCCCGAGTGCGCTGTGCCACGCTGTCAGAGGCCAGAGGCAAGCTCGCCAAGGGCCTGGCGACCCTCAGGAAACTGAGGGGGGAGGAGGGGGAGGGAGAGAGGGAGGAGGGCGAGGGGGAAGGGGAGGAGGGGGAGACTGGGTCAGTGGCTGGTGGGGCGGAGGAGCAGGATGAATCAGTGCTTTACCCTCTGCTGGATGTACCAGATGCAGAACTGACGGCCGAGGAGGTAAGCGAGAGAGTGAGGACTTGCAGAGGAGGTGAGATGGCCCAGTTAACGGAGCAGGATGAGTCGATGCAGCCCTGATACAGAACTGACAGCCAAGGAGGTCAGAAAGAATGGAGGTGAGGTGAGTAAGTTTTGAGTCGACTCAAGCTGACAGAGCAGGATGAATCAGTGCTTTATGAATATACCCTCTGCTGGATATACCAGATGCAGAACTCACGGCTGAGGAGGTGAGCGAGGGGAGAGTTTTGAGAGTCCAGGAGGTGAGGTGGTGCACTGAGAGTCGCGACTCATAGGAGCAGGATGAGTCGCTGCTGTACCCGCTGCTTGATATCCCCGATGCAGAGCTGACAGCAGAGGAGGTATGGGGAGAGGGAAGGTGAGACAAGAGCTGATTTGAGAGGAGCAACTTTTGAGTCGACTCTAGCTGACAGAAGTGACTTGAGAAGTGACTTGAGAAGTGACTTGAGAAGTGACTTGAGAAGTGACTTGAGAAGTGATTTGCGAAGTGACTTGAGAAGTCACTTGAAAAGTGATTTGCGAAGTGACTTGAGAAGTGATTTGAGAAGTGACTTGAGAAGTGACTTGAGAAGTGACTTGAGAAGTGACTTGAAAAGTGACTTGAGAAGTGACTTGAGAAGTGACTTGAGAAGTTATTTGCGAAGTGACTTCAGGCACCATCAGTCCTGCGAATGCTGTTCCATCTCTCATTTCTCACTGCCCGCTCCCCCGTTTCTGGTTTTTGAGAATTCTCAAAAACTCCCCCGTTTCTCCTCTCTTTTCCCTTCCCAACCCTGCTAGATTTTCCCCTCTTTCCTTACATCCTCTTTCCATCTCCTTACCTTACCTTACCTTCTTTTCCTTCCACTCTAATGAAGGCCTTGGCCTTGGCCTTTAGGAATGAGACATTTCAGAACTTCTCTCCCACCCTTGCCTCGCTTTGTCCTCGCATGGCATGGCAGCTGAAGGAGAAGCAGCGGCAGAGCACGATGCGAGGGATCGCGTTGAGGCAGGCAGCCATGTAGACTGGGAGAGACCCGCATTCATTCCTTCTCCTCCTCCCCTCCCTCCACCACTCCCCCCTCCCCTTCCCCTTACGCATGGCATGGCAGCTGCGGGAGAAGCGGCGGCAGAGGACAATGCGGGGGCTTGCGCTGGGGCAGGCGAGGATGAAACAGGCAGCAGAGGAGAAACGGGCTAAGGCGGCTGCTGAGAGGGATGAGGAAGAGCGGAAGAGAAGGTGAGGCGAGCGGATGGGCGGGATGCGCCTATTTCTGAGGCGCCTTAATGATTGTGTCGGGGCATGCGAGGATGCGACAGACAGGTCGAGGGCACGGTGTCGGCAACTGCACTTGGGTGGAGAGGGGGTTGATTTCTTGCTCACCTGGTGGGCTCCTGTCGTGATCATACCTCATGCCTGTTGCCTGTTGTGTCCTTTGCAGGGAGAACCCAGAGGTGTATACAGCAGAGCTGAGGGCGCGGTTTCAGCAGCTGCAGGCGGCCTTGGAGCAGAGGAAGCGGAGGAAGATGGGCGGAGGGGGGGTGGTGCTTGGTGCGGCTGCTGCGTCCCCATCAGTGGGTGGCGGTAGCAGTGCCGCGGGAGGGGAGGAGTCTGGTGGAAAGGGCACGGGGTCAGAAGGAGGGGCAGGTGGGGGAGAAGCGTTAGTAGGAGGAGGAGCAGTGGGTGCAGCAACAGCAGCAACCGCAGCAACCGCAGCAGCAGGAGGAGCTTCAGTGGCTGCTGCCTCGCCTGTGCTCTCACTCGCGGCAGCGGCAGCAGCAGCAGCGTCAGGCCAGGCAGTGAAGGGCGCGACTCTAGACATCACTCCCCTGGGGGGACCTGCCAGCGCTCTTGCAGGGGGGACCGGCGTGGGGCTGGGAGGGGGCCTTGCTGGGAGCGTGGCTGGGGGCCGAGCAGAGCGAATCACAGCCGCGCACAGGGAGAGGATGAAGCTTCTGACTGCTGCTGCTTTTGAGAGTAAGAAAGGGCGGAGAGGCGCGGGAGGGGGGAAGGCGGGAGGAGGTGGAGGGGGAGGAGGAGGAGGAGGAGGGGGTGGAGGAGGGAGGAAAGGGGGAGGGGGAGGCGGGGATGAGGATGATTTTGGGGTGAGGGACGAGGACTGGCTGGTGTATAAGCGGATGAGTGCGAAAGGTGTGGAGGAGGAAGAGGAGGAGGAGGCGGAGAGGGAGGCTGCAGAGCTGGAGAAACTGAGAACCCGGCTGCAGGTGAGGGTGAGGGTTGGCTGCAGGTGAGGGTGAGGGTTGGTTGCAGGTGAGAGTGAGGGTTGGCTGCAGGTGAGAGTGAGGGTTGGCTGCAGGTGAGAGTGGGTGGGGTTGCAGGTGAGGGTGGGTGGGGTTGCAGGTGAGGGTGGGTGGGGTTGCAGGTGAGGGTGGGTGGGGTTGCAGGTGAGGGTGAGTGCTGGGGTGGATGGTTGAGGTGATGATGGGGCGCTGTGTGCAGCACCTGACCTGGCAACGTTCTTTGTTCCTTACAAGTTTTGAGGCGCCTAAAAAATCGCTTTGTGCAGCACCTGACCTGACCTGGCAGCGTTCTTTGTTCCTTTCAACTTTGGCAATGTACTGGTAATTCCCATCTCTTATTCCACCCCGTCCCTGAATCAACTCATCAGCTATCTCCTTATCACCTCCCACTGCCACGTGTCCTTCAGGAAGTTGATCCAGCCTTCCTGATCTCCATCAATGCTGCGCCTGCCTCAGCCCCAGGCACTGCTGCCACCAGCCTTTCTGGACCTGCCTCCTCGGTTCGGCAGCCCACCGACGCAGACTACCAGATCCGGCTCGGCGTGGAGCGCATCCGGGCAGCTGAAATTATTTTCGAGCCATCTTTAATTGGGCTCGACCGGGCAGGCTTGGGTGAAAGTTTGGGTGCAGCAGTGAGAAGAACAGCAGAGGAGCTAAGGAGCAAACTAGTCCCGTTGTACTCCAGAACCAAGTCAGCCAGTGGTGCTCTTGCCTTTGCCACTGCTGGTTCGGGCATAGAAAACTTTCCGCCGAGCTTTCTCTTCCTGACCGGGGGAGGTTCGCTGCTGCCCGGAATGAGGGGCAGGTTGGAGGCAGAGTATCGGCAGGTGCTGCCAATGGGGAGTGGGATAAAGATTGTGGAAGCTCGGGATGTGTTCTGGGATGCGTGGAGGGGGGCAGCAGCCATGGCTGGGGATGGGAGAAGATTGCTGCGGCAGGCTGTGAGTCGGAAGGAGTATGAGGAGCGTGGGCCGGATGCATTTCGACGATACAACTTTGATTACTTCTGAATTTTAATGTCATCGACACGATTGAGTGATTTGGAATAGTTTCTGCGTGATATGTTATGGCTGATTACCATTTTTTAGGCCTTGTATCTTCATCCAGCGTAGCTCTATGGCACTATGAGTGTCCGTGACCCCTAAACCAAAAGTTGTAACGGATTTGCTTAAGCGAAGATGTGGTCCAAACCGTGTCCTTCCCCCCTTGCCCAAACCAACCCATTCAAAGGCCCTGCTCGATAGCAATTCGGCAAAAAGCCCCCAGCCATTGTCCAAGCACAACGGTGGGAGCATAAAGACAAACGGTGCTCGTTCGGCACCGCCGGCAGCGTAATGATTGAAGCCGACTGCCTGCCGGCTTCTTTCTGCAGGTCTAACGGCCGAGGTGTTCGGAAACACCACATCAACGGCCAATTGGTGTGGAAACATTCTGTGTTTTTTTTCTGACCCGGGCCCTGGCGGAACCATGGTCAGCGTCAGAAAAAGTATCGCAATCAAAATATTCCCTCTGAATAACAGTCTAAACCAGTGGCATGCCCACTCCTTGGGACACAGCTCACTCGTTTTGGAACCGCTCTGTAAAACACTATATATTTTTCAGATTGAATATTTTGATGGCGATACTTTTTCTGACGCTGACCATGGTTCCGCCAGGGCCCGGGTCAGAAAAAAACACATAATGTTTCCACACCAATTGGCCGTTGATGTGGTGTTTCCGAACACCTCGGCCGTTAGACCTGCAGAAAGAAGCCGGCAGGCAGTCGGCTTCAATCATTACGCTGCCGGCGGTGCCGAACGAGCACCGTTTGTCTTTATGCTCCCACCGTTGTGCTTGGACAATGGTGGGGGGCTTTTTGCCGAATTGCTATCGAACAGGGCCACTGTAAACCTTGAATTTTGGCGGCTCTTCTTGGGGAAAATATGTCAATGGTAACTTACATGGGGCACTGTAACGCGTACGGTAACGATTTCAACGCGTTTGGTAACTCGCTTAACGCGTTTGGTAACTCGCTTAACACGTTTGGTCACTCGCTTAACACATTTGGTAACTCTACACTAGCAGCCCATCACGCGAATGGTAACTACATGAAATTCCCGCCGAAATTGAGCCTAATTCTAGTTTTTCCCGCTCGCGTCAGAATAAATTGACGAATCCTGAAGCAGAAACCTCTGACACACTCTCCGAAATTCTGACAGGTTTCCGAAATTCTGACAGACTCTCCGAAATCCTGACACACTTTCCGATTTTCAAGCTAATTGTTTATACACAGTTGATATTCTGGTGCTCCTTCCGCAAACTGTTTGTACGTTTTTCTATCGTGCAGCCGGGGCAAACAAATCTATACCCCTTTCAAATGGCAGATAAATTTGAGAGCAACAACCTTAAACTTCTTGCGACCAGGCGTTTATGGTTCTTTATTTAAATTAAGAAACATGTAATTTTCAAGAGGAGTATTTTTCCCACATGCAAATATTCTCCAATGTTGCATTAATTATGAACAGTAAAAATTCCGAGGTCTTTTCGGGAATCTTTTTAAAATCGTTTTGCAAGTTCGCAATCATGCTATAGAAATTTTAGAAATTTACCATTTTTGTACGAGCTACATATATGTATAAAATGGCCCTGAAACTTTGTGGTCCGTGGTATTAGAACAAACGGAATCCTTCAAATTCGCGGCGAGACTTGTTCAAAAGAATAGTACTGTGCGTAAAAGCTTTCAAAATCTATAAATTCCTCTTGCTCGGGCTCATTTCGGCGGGAACTTCATATAGTTACCATTCGCGTGATGGGCTGCTAGTGTAGAGTTACCAAACGTGTTAAGCGAGTGACCAAACATGTTAAGCGAGTTACCAAACGCGTTAAGCGAGTTACCAATTGCGTTGAAATGTTTACCGTACGCGTTACAGTGCCCCATGTAAGTTACCATTGACATATTTTCCCCTCTTCTTGTCACCCAGTCGCAGCCGCAGACCTCAAGGTTCCATCCATAAACATTTTTACATGCATTTGCAAGCAATAACCTAGTTCTTTTCGCGCTCGCGTCGCAACCCCCGAGGTTCAATATCCCCTTGTCTTTCGCGTCGGCAACTGAGGTGACGACGGCTTCGACTAGCGCTAGTCTCGTTTTAGGTTGCTACTTTCGGCTACGCTAGTTGTACAAGGGATGAGCATTGCGTCACGGTGACTCGACGAGTATTGTCGGTAGCAGGACTCACGTGCGCCGCTCACTGCGCGCAGTGACGCGCGCGCCTCGTATGACTCTCCTTAGATATCGATTTCTAAAAATCTCATTTGCTTCAGCCGGTTTCGTTTAATCCCTACGCTACGGTCTGCACACGCTCGTTAGTCAGAATCACTCAAGCTGCCGCGTTCATTTCACCTGCGTGCTCTTCACTTGCGTTCAGAATCACCAGCTTTCTCTAACGAAATGCAGCAGCCGCATAGACCTCCTCGGACGGGAGCGAATTTGTTTTCAAACGATTTAGGGGGGTTTAGATTCTAGGTCTTAGAGTTTGAAGGCTTGGGATTTTGAGATTCCGACATTCCAAGGTTCTGGAATCTTCGTTTTGAAACGTTCTGAGACAAGCAGCTGCCATAAGCTGATCGCTCGGGTGTCCAGCTGGCAGCATTCCATTCGCCGCGGATCATCGATTCGCCGCGGATAATCGGTTTGCGTCCGATTGGGTAGTTCGTTTATTCCAGATTGCCGACCTCTTGACGCATCCACGATAGAAGAGTCTTCGAACGAACGTGAAGGTGATGGTAGTGATGGCGGTGAAGGTGACAAAGAAACGTGGGATTTGAAGTTCTTGTGAGATCTTTTTCTTGAATTCTCAGATTTTAGAATTTAAACGGCGATGATGAAGGTGGCTAAGAATCTGGGGACTTGAAGCCTTCGTGAGTTGCGTCTTTGTGACAGAATTTAGGAGTCTCCCATGGCGGTGAAAGTGGCCAAGAAACGCGCCCCGATTCGGAAACGAGCTAGCGGCGGGGGGATCGCGGGCGATGGATTTAGCAGCGCGTTTGGCGAAAGCAGCAGCACCACGCGGTTGTTACTATTGATAGGAGGCGCCGCGTTTCTAGTGTGGATTCTAAACCACAGGTCGTTTCTCAGAACTTCTTCATACCCGGCAGAAGAATCATTCCTTAACGCCCACAGAAGAAGAGGGGGTTCAGGGGGGCCGGACCCGTGGGGTACAGAGGACGGGAGAATGCTTCAGAGCCGTGACTATAACGGGAGAGGGGGCTACGGTGGTAGAGGTGGCTATTATGAAGGATCTATGGTGGGGAATTCTGTAGATCAACGGTCAGGAGGCGATGCAGGTACGGGCTTTAGGGCAGCCGGAACGAGAGGGGTAGGGGAGATTGCGGGAGGAGCAATAGGGGCACGTGGCAACCCCAGATTACCCCACGTGGACTCGACAGGAGCGACAGCTGGCACGTTGGCAGGGGGAGGAGAGGATCGGTCGGATGGAGAGCAATTGGGGATGGGGGGAAGGAGAGAGGGTGGTGGGGATGTTACGCCCTGGCAGCAGCGGTTCTCCGATTCGACCCATTCTGGCCCGGAGGTTGTCAACATGAGGAGCAGTTTTAGCACAAGCAGCAGTAGCAGCGGTTCTGGCGACATGGGAGACAGCTACAGTAGCAGTGGCAGCAGTAGCAGTAGTGATAGTGGCAGTGGTTGGAGTGGCAGCAGCCGCAGTGGCAGCAATGGCGGCAGGGATGGTGACAGCAGCACCACTAGCCACAGCGCATCATCCTCACCCAACCCTCTAAAACCAGCCAAACCCCGGACCTCACATCCAGGTTCGGCAGCCCGGTGGGCGCCAATCAACGGCAGCTTCGTCCTTTCCTGGATCCCCCCTTCGAAGGCTCGGCTCCAAACCAACATCTCCCAACCAGAGCTCTACCCGGTTCTCTTAGACGTGATTCGTTACAACGAAGAAGCGCAACTCACCGCTGCTAAAGCGGGTCTGGAGCCTCCCAAGGCGTCCAGAGGGCCGGCGTGCCCGGTGTTTGAGTTTGGGTTTGAGCGGTTCCCCGGGATTGGGTCGTGCTGGGAGGCGGGGATTGCGGATGAGAAGCGGGCGGCGACGCGGCCGCCTGTGAACTGCAAGGGGGTGGACCCGACGTGCATTCAGAAGAACGACCTGCTGCCTCATAACAAGTGGTCCGCTCAGGTGGGTGGGGGTGATCGGAGGGGGATAGGGGGAAGGGGGATTGGAATGGGGTTAGATGATGAGGTTGTTTTGTGGATTGCAAGGGGTTAGATCCAACGTGCATTCAGAAGAATGATTAGCTGCTGCATAACAAGTGGTTTTCTTTGCTCAGGTGCGTGCTGAACCCTAAACCCTTAACTCCAAACCCTAACCCTGAACCCTCATTCAGAAGAATGGCCTGCTGCTGCACAACAGGTGGTCCGCTCAGGTGAGGAAGGAAGGGTGGGGAGGGGGAGGATGAAAGGGGTTTGGGGGACAGGGTTTGGGGATGGGCTTGGCTGATTGGTGTTTTTTCTGGGGACGGGTGGGGTGGGGGGAAAGGGGGAAGGTATGGGGGATGGTTGGGGGAGGTGCCCTGTGAACTGCAAGGGGATGGAGCCGACATGCATTTGGAAGAATGACCTGACCTGACCTGACCTGACCTGACCTGACCTGACCTGACCTGACCTGACCTGACTTGCTGCTGATCCCTCTCGCCTGCTACTCATGAGTCTCATTCCCCTCTCTGGCCTTCCTTCCTCCCAATCCAACATCCACCCCCAGGTGCTGGTTCTACGGAATGTGTACGTAAACGTGGCGGGGCAGGTATTCAATGCAACGCACATATCCGACCACAATGCGTCGCAGCCCAGGCGTCTCCATGTCTCTCCCCGTCCACTATTCCACCCCACCCCCTCAACATAACCCCAACAGGTGCTCGTGCTCTGCAACGTGTATATGAACGTGGTGGGGCAGGTGTTCAACTCAACCCACACTTTCATTCCCCCTCTGCAATCCCCTATCTCCTTCCCCCATCCCAACAGGTCCTAGTTCTCCGTAATGTGTATATAAACGTGGTGGGGCAGGTATTCAACTCAACACACATATTCGACCACAACGCGTGCGCCGGCAGTCCCAACATCACCGTCACGCTGCCCTTCCGCTACGCCGCCAACCGCACGCGTGTCACCCACTTCAAAGAGCTCGTCTCCCTCGTAGACTGGTTCGCCTGGTCCACCCGCGCCATGCTGCTCGACCTCATACCGCTCTTTATCTCTCTGCACCGCATTCTGCCGGCCATGAGGGGCGTGCCGGTGGCGGTGGGGCACAGGCGGCCGCATGTGAGGAATGGATTGGAGCAGCTGTGCTCGCTGGGAGCGGTGGACGTGCTGGGAGTGCAGGTGGACAAAATGAACGTGCATGTGGTGAAGGCTAAAGACTTGTTCTTTGCGGAGAAGCTTGTCATTGTGAGTTGGGTGCCAAGTGGACAGGATGATCGTGCATGTTGTCAAAGCCCCTTGATTTTGTGTGTGTGTGTGTGTGTGTGTGTGTGTGTGTGTGTGTGTGTGGGTGTGTGGGGGCCCCCCTTCCCTCCCCATGCTGCTCCCCTGCATTCGCTCCCTTCCCTTCCACCTCATCTCACCCCGTCCCTCCCCTGCCTCCCCTCCCCTGCCCTCCCGTTTCCTCCAATCCCCTCCCCTCCCCTCCCCTCCCCTCCCCTCCCCTCCCCTCCCCTCCCCTCCCCTCCCATCCCCGCCCCTCCGTTCCTCTCCCCTCCCCTCCCCTCCCTATTCCAGCCGCTGCACCAGCGGTGTGGGGAGCCCAGCCGCTCTCTTTGGCACTATCTGCGAATGAGACACCTGTTGCCACCCGGGGGGCTGCCCATCTTCAATGCTGGTACGAGCAGGGCGAGTGAGGGGGGGGGGGGGGGGGGGGGGGGTGGGGGGGCTTCCGCCGAAAAATTTGCGCGAATAGAAAGGGGGAGGGGTTGGGGGGTGGGGTGGGGGGGTTGGGGATGCGGGGAAGGGGGGAGAGGGGGGATGGAGGGGGAAGGGGGCGCCAGTGGGGGGCTTGTGGGCATGGCAGGTGTGGTTTTGGGGTGACCTTGAAGGTGGTATGGGCGGGGCGAAGGTTTCAGATTCAGGATCTGAGGATGAGGTGTTTGCCCTGTGAGTGAGTGTGAGGTAATGATGCTCTAGACGAACTACTTTGAACATCATTCCTTAAAACTTTTTTTTTTTTTGTTTTTTTGCTTTGAGGTGTTTCTTTCCTGTTGAACCTCTTGAGAAAAGTATTCACAGCATGCGTTTCTTTTACCACCACATCCCACATGCGCGCCATCCCACCAGACTGGACGTCCAGGTTCAAAGGATCTGCCACTCCGGCCTACACACCGCACGCCTATGCCCCGGGGAGCAACTGGGTGGTGCTGTTGGGATGGAAGGAGCAGCGCGCATCTCTCCTCCAAAGCCTCAAACTCCACGAGCACCTCACACGCCTCTTCCCCCCCGAGCGCGTCGTCATCTACCGGGAGGGCTCCATCTCCCTCCCGCGCCGAAAAGACCTGCTCAACCGCGCGCTCCTCATGGTATCAGTGCATGATAATATCCTTGCAGATATTGTCTTCATGCCGCCCGGATCGGCCGTGCTGGAGATTCGCCCGGTGGAGAATCCGGACGTGATCTTCCACCAGCTGGCGGATATCTGCGAGATTGAGTATTATTTGGCGTTTTGTGAGGGGGGGAAAGCGGTGGGGAGTGCGGCGGGCGGGTGGGCTGGGAAGCCCGTGGAAGGGAATTTGGTGGCTAAAGATCCAAAGGGGGTGCAGAAAATGTTGACTGATATTTCTAGGAAGGTGTTTGCACGAGCAAATGCAATGAGACGGAAGGGAGGGTAGGCAGTCAGCTTGTGGGGAGTGCGGCGGGGGGATGGGCTGGGAAGCCCGTGGAAGGGAAATTGGTTGACAAGAATCCAAAGAGGGTGCAGAAGATGGTTTCTGGGAAGGTATTTGCGTGAGCCAACGCGACGAGACGGAAGGGTACGGTCCTAGCCGGTGTCGCGCTCGCTGACACAAGGATATCAACGATATCAGCATCGTCCAAATCACAACCCTTCACAGCTTCGTGTCAGGGTGCCTTACACCGGCCAAGAACGTATGGTTTTGCTAAGGTGAGGTGAGGTGGGGTACCGTATGCTGGGTAGCATTGTAGTGTAGTAGACAGGCAATATGGTAGGTTGGTGAAGCTGTGCCCTTGTCTCCTATATTTTCATTGAATGAGGATATTGGGGTTGCTTGCATGTGTGATGTGATGTGACACGGCCAGCCAGCAGCATGCAAGCTCCAGGTTTCATACATCAGTTTCATTTGGAAAGAACGGGAATGGGGGCACATCTGACCGCAATGCAGTGCCCATTTTCAGAGGACATTTTCCATGTTTTTTCAAGATGCATTTCACATACACAGCAGCTACAACCTGCCAAGGCTAAGTGAGAGCTCTGGGAAAGAAGGCTCATAAAACCTGGGCAGGTTAAGCGAGGGCCCTCGGGCAGCTGGAGCACACCCTTCCCCTAAACGAACCTCCCCTATAAGGCCCTCTCCTTTGACGCTCTTTCCCACAAAGCCCTTCCCGGCAAGACCCTCTGCTTTAAGGCCCAGGCCCTCTCCTGTGTGGCGATGTTCTGTGGGAGATTCTCCCCTTGGGCCATGAGGTGGGGAGAGGGGGCAGGCCAAGGAGAGGGAGGAGGGTGATAGCGACAATGCGTCGATGAAATTCCTCTCTGTTGGCTGCGCTTCGGCTGGGGTGCTCGTCTTGTCCGTTGCAGCGGACGCAGGAGCCGCAGGAGCAGCAGCAGCAGCAGCAGCAGCAGCAAGAGCAAGAGCCGGAGCAGGGAGAGGGGCAGGAGCAGCGAGTGAGTTGGTGCTGGAATGTCTGAGGATGTTCGAGGGCACGGAAGGAGCACCAGCTGACTTTTGAGTCGACTCAAAAGTCACCTCGTTGGTGCTGGAATGTCTGAGGATGTTTGAGGGCACGGAAGGAGCACCAGCTGACTTTTGAGTCGACTCAAAAGTCACCTCGTTGGTGCTGGAATGTCTGAGGATGTTTGAGGGCACGGAAGGAGCACCAGCTGACTTTTGAGTCGACTCAAAAGTCACCTCGTTGGTGCTGGAATGTCCGAGGATGTTTGAGGGCACGGAAGGAGCAGGAGCTAGCGCGGTGACCAAGGAAGCAGTGCTCCCGGGATCCCTCTTGAGCCGCTTCCCCGCGCGGGAGGAGAGCTGCTCCCAGCTGCTCCCGTCGCACCCATTGCTCTGGAGGCCGAGTGCCGTAATGCCGTTGCTGCCGTCGCACCCATTGCTCTGGAGGCCGAGTGCCGTAATGCCGTTGCTGCCGTTGCTGCCGTCGCACGCGTTGCTCTGGACGGTGTGGCGCTCAGCGGTGGGTGCGGGGTTAGCTAGAGAGGAAGGGATGGCGCAGTGAGCAGGTCGCTGTGCTGATGGCGCTGAAGTTGGAAGGGGAGGAAGGGGTGGGGTTGTGTGCGACGAGGGTGGAGGAGTTGGGGGACTTGCAAACACTGGCTGGCGATTCTGCTGGCTTGCCGCATATTGGATCCTCTGCTGTCCCTGCTGCTGCCATTGGTGACTTTGCTGCTGCGGCTGCTGCTGGTGGTCGTGCTGATAGTTCTGTGTTTGCTGCTGCTGCTGCTGTTGTTGTTGCTGCTGTTGTTGTTGCTGTTGCTGCTGTTGTTGTTGTTGCTGCTGCTGTTGTTGTTGCTGCTGCTGCTGATGCCTGCTAAGGTTGTGCTGGGGAAGGCTATGCGGCGAGGAAGCATGATTGCCAGACTGGCTAGAATCCCAGGGAGTCAACGGAGGCTCCGTGCACAAGAGCAGCTGAGGTGGCGGCTCCTGATTGGACAGCATCTGGAGCAACGGCATCCGATTCTCGCCGCTCCCCTCATCTATCTTGGGGTTACCACCCTGCCGTTTCGCGTGCGATCCAGGCCATTGGGCTGCCTCAATGCCGCATTGCTGCGGCTGCGTGGAACGCAGAGCGTGGTGATGGGTCTCACCGCGTGGGGGATATGCGGTAATACCACAATGTGCGGATGGTGTGGCACCTAATGTCATGGCCACTCCTCCCGACGCATCTTGACGGCCCGAGCCGGTTAGAGATGACTGATCCAGAGGCATCATGACGGGCCGACCCATCAGCACCTGCTGCTGCTGAGGCTGCTGATGCGGAGGAGGGGAGCGCACAGAAAGCGCCTGGGTGTTGTACCCTGGAGCGGAGAACGTTGCTATAATCTCCGCCTGCCCTCTTAGCTGTGGTGTCTGCTGCACTAAAAATTGCTGCTGCTGCTGCTGCTGCTGCTGCTGCTGCTGCTGCTGCTGCTGTTGCTCCTGCTGCCGCCACACGCCGCCGCCACCGGCGGTAGCCGCAGGCGTTACCATCATGCCGCCTTGCTGCGACGGCGGCGACGGCGGCGGCACCGCGGCGGCGCCGGCGGCGGCGGTAGCGGAAGCAGCAGCAAGGAAGCGGTTGCGGGAGAGCCGGGCGGAGAGCAGCGGCGGAGGGTGGTTGTGCGCATTCTCAAACCAAGTCTTCTCCTTCATTGCCGTCTCTGCCGCCAACTCTCCGCCGGCAGCGCCGCCGGCGGAGTCCGTCCGGGTCGCCGCCATGGCGGCTCCCGCGGAACCTTGATCATGGCCCGCGCACGCCGCCGCGCCGGCGGGCGCGGGGAACAAGCTGCGCGCCCAGAGATCTTGAGACGGCGATCCCGGGAGTTTCTCGTTTGGGAAGTTGGATGCGGGGAGGTTCATGATGCTCCTAGAATTGGGAGACCCGGGTTTTCTGTTGTCGCTGGTTGTGCTGACTTCCGGAGACAGCGCGCCGCCGGCGCCGTCGCTGCCGCCGCCACTGGATGCGGCGCGGCCGTTCAAGCTGCCGGCGCGGGGGCGCTTGCGCGGTTTGTCGACGATTTTCTTCGCGGGGCATCCGTGCGAATCCTTTTGCGCGCACGCGTAGTAGAACCTGCGGTCCGAAACACGGAGACGGCAATAATAAAACACCAATGCGACTCGTTAGGGCCACTGGCAACACTATAGATCCCATGTATTGTCACCACCAGCTTACTACTGTTGGACGGGACAAATGATTGTTCGCCGGAAGTGTCGTTTTCTTTACGAAAAAATGTTGAGACTCACGCGTCTCGGTGTGGATCCTCACCGCTTGACGTTGACGGAGGCGAGAACCTTGTGGCCGTACTTCTTCCACGAGTAACCCGTACAATTACTTGCATTTCGCGAATCGGAATGGATCGCCGCGACTTCCATCATATATATGGGCCGGCGAGACTCTCGCGAACCTCCACAAGTTGTCAACGGTTGATGTTTGTAGTTCCACAGTTCACAGTTTTATGCAGGAGTTCTTACAGTATTACTTCGGGAGAATAGATTGTTGGTGTGTGCAGGGAGGTCAGGCCTACAGGTAGGAATGAGTTTCATTCTGCAGTTATTGTGAGTTGGATGCTTGCTTTGGTGATTCCTGACGGATGCTCTGCATTCCCAACACACTCGCTCGACTTTCCAAACGGACTGAACAGAGGGGGTGTGCCAAACCCAACCAGCAGCACCACCGCGTGGGGGGTGCGATTGGAGGGAAGCGGCAGGATAGGCCTGCGGATGCGCTGTGATGCGCTGTGCGGAGCCTGGTGTAGGTGGTGGTGTGCTGCACTGCTGCGGAGCAAGAGGCGGAACAAGAGGGTGCCAGCGCGCATAGACCACACCAGTTTGGCCGACGACCCGACATGACGACGGGTCCTGGCGGGCGGGCTGACTGACTTCCCCCGAAGCCAGTCACCGATGGAAATCGTCGCTCGTTCGCACGTGGATGGCATTCACCCATTTCATGGTCTAGGCGAGCCGCACATTTGAGAAATAGGGGTGCGAGGGGGAATGGTGGGGGGAAGGGGGAAGTTGGGGAGTACAGTTGTGCGGAAGGGCGGCCTCAACAACTGTGGGCCAGTTGCTTTGGTCCAGACTGATGAAAGTTTTTTTTGGGTTGCGTAGCAACCCTATATAATTGGTTTCACTTCTTTTATTTTTAAATACTAGGCGCTCTACAGGTTAAAAAATTTGAGTCATGCAAATTCTGCCTTGTGAGTTTTGGTGTCTTGAAAGTGCAAATTCTTCTAGCACGGTAGCACGGCTGTGTTTTAAATTCACACCAAGTGGGATCCGTTAATTCCGATACTGGCAGAATTGTGCCCCTCTGGTGTTCCCTGGCTGGCCGCAGCCACCTAAGGACGTGTCACGGTTTGCCACAGATCGGCTGGAATCTGGTCGGGGCTGATCTGGTCGAGCTTCCCAATCAGATAAGGTATTCCTCAAATATTATAAGAGGGTGCGTGGTAAGCGTTTTAACATTTCCTGACACTTTCGTGCCCACTTTGGCGAGAGGCCTCAGACTGGATCTAGCGAAGTTCATTGTTACTCTGAGATTTCGCGTAAACAGGTGCCCAGAAACCCAGGGTGGTTGTTTGAGCGAGGAATACACGAAACCCAGCACAACACCGTCAGTTTTCGCTGGCATCGCCTGGTACCCCAAACCAACGCAATCAACTGATCATCGGTGATTGTGTGTGGGATTGTGTTTGATTGGGCTGTTTTAGGCGGCTGATCGTGTTGGGGCGATCAACTGATCTCGATCAAGTAATTGCTTCCAATTGCCTGAAATCGCCACCTTAGCTCCCAGAAGTTAATGATGGCCTCTCATCGGGGCAATCATAGGCGAACCATGACACGTCCTAATGTAAGGACCATCACAACTCCTCTCCTTCTGGTTTTCAGCCCATTTGCCGCTACGCAGCTCGCCTCGTCCGTCACAAATTCGAACGTGCGATGCTGTGACGTTCCCGAAATAGATGGAGCCGATTTTGGGTAGACCGACCGCACCCAGCAACCAAGGAAAATGGTCATGACTCGAGCCGCGGCGCTTTCCAATCTCGAAAATGGGCAGGATTCATCTTCGAGCTGGGGAAGGAAGCAGGTGGAACCTTAGGGAAGGGGGGTTTGGGGATTTCCGAGTGCGCGGAACCAACGCAAGATGGGTGCCAAGCGGTTGGGGGGGGGGGGTGGGTGGGGGCTTGAGGCTGGGTGTGAGGCGGGAAAGGGGGTGAAAGAGCAAGCGGTCTTGTCAAAGACGACACAACACGGGAATAACGCGGCAAATGGGAGAGGAGGACGCACGCTCAGCTGGGCGCCGCTGCAGACCCCTAGCGCCAAACGGTGCTGCTAACCTGTGGAGGCAGTTGCGGTTGAACAGAAGACAAAAAAAACACAACGAGCCACACCTTTTCGAGGCAAATCAAAGCAGCTTCAGCCAAACAGCGTGTATGGGCTGACCCTTCGAAAATAAGACAAAGGTCAGAGAAGAGCACTATTTTGGTAAACTGACTAATGGGAAATCCCAAATATACTTATTCACTACAATAACCCCCTACAATTTTTTTTCCTCACTCCGATTTTGGGAGTTCCACAAAGTCCTGGTTTTGTGTGCTTCTAGCCGCGTTGGCACAAAGTCACAAGTCGACACGGAGGTGCCATGGCAGCTAGTGCAACATTCAATTCAAGTTTTTGCGCTGCAGAGAACGAACCAGAAAGGAGTTGTTGATGTGATTCCATTTTCTGTTGCGAATCTGTTCTTCAGGGTTGGCAGTTGGTCATTCAGTGGCTGTAGCCACTCATCCTCACGCATCCCAGCACACCTCAGCACATTGCGGTAAGTGCAATCATGGGCTGCCCTGCCCACATATCTGGACCGTGAGAATATCAAAAGTGGCCGCAACAAGTGTACTAATTTCAGAAGCAGAGCACATATGGCAGTTATAAGGTGCGCTTCTTACAGTTTTGCCATGATCTAAGTCAATCAGGCATGAACGCTCTGATCAACATTCAGGCATGAATGCTCTGATTACCAGAAATACTTGTTCTTTAAAAATAGTTTCTCTGTTTTCAAACAACTTCAACCTTTGTTACTTTACAAACTCATAACAGATACATTGAGTTTCGATATTAGCTACAGCCCGTTACTGTAAGTTGGTGGAACCCTCTTCCCATCCGCCATCGTAAAATTTCTCGAGAATTCTCCTCGTGTCGTCACTGAACTATGGCACGATGTGCGAGCTTCTCGGCAGGGAAACCCCGAGCGTGCATCTCACCACCGCCACCGCCACCATTGGCGCCACCGTCGCCACAATCGCTTGCGACACGACGTTTTCCCAGATGCAGTCCTTCGTCGCATCCACCAGCATGCACAGCATCTTGTGTCGCGGCATCCCTTATCGCGGATTCGCACGGTCTCACTGCTTCGTGTTCTGTTCCCGCGTCTCCGCCAGTCACAGACTCACAGTGTTGCTCGCTCCAAGGGACGATTCCCGCCGCCGCAGTCGCCGCACTCTTACAGCAAAATGGAAATTGTTTTGCAAACGCGCACATCCTTTCGTCTAGCCGCTCACGACCGTTCAATTCGCCACGCGGAAGAGCGCGATTGGCCGTCAGATGCGCCGCGGCTGGAGATGAAAGTCGTCACGGCGCGCCATTTGCCGCCAGAGCTGCCGCGGAGCCGCCAAGCGCACGGGGATGGGGGATATGGGGAGGTGAAGGGGGAGACAGATGGGGAGGGGACGGCGGAGGGATGCGGGGAGGGGAAGGCGTAAGAAGGCGGCGAGGCGGGGGTTTGGCGCAGGGGAGGCGGAGAGAAGCAGGCGGAGGTAGCGGAAGAGGCGGGACAGGCGAAAGGCCGGCGCGGGCGGTGGGGGGCGCAGTGGCGGAGGGCGCAGCGGCGGGGAGGGCGGCGGAGGAGACGGTGCTGGAGGTGCGGCGCGTGAGCTTCCAGCCGCACGGGTCCGACAGCTGGCTGCTCACTGACGTGTCGCTCTCCCTGCCCAAAAACAGGTCAGGTCACTCCCCCCTCTCCGCCCTCCCTGCCCAAAAGAGGTGCGCTCCATCCCTCCGCCGTCTTTCTTGAGTCGACCCAAACGTGCGACAGCTGGCTGCTCACTGACGTCTCACTCTCCCTGCCCAACAACAGGTCACTCCCTCCCTCCGCCCTCCCGCCTTCCCCTCCCTACCCGCCCCACCCCGGCCCCTCTCCCTCCCTGCCCCTTCCGCCTCCTGCCCTCTCCGCCCTCTCCGCCCTCCCCGCCCGCTCCGCCCTCCCCGCCCTCTCCGCCCTCCCCGTTCTCACTCCCTCCATGCCACTTGCAGCAGCTGCTAGGGGGAAAAGCGGCCGGGCAACGCCTCGTCGCATCTCACATGCTCTTCAGGCGCCTCGTTGCATTGCATCTCGCATGCTTCTCCTGTGATGCCTCTGCTATGCTTCCCCCCTGTTCCAATCTCTCGCTCGCTCCTGCATACACCCCTCTCTACCACCCGCCCCTCCCACCCGCCCCTGCCACCCGCCCCTGCCACCCGCCCCTGCCACCCGCCCCTGCCACCCCCCTATGAACAACAGCCTAGGGCTCATCTTTGGGCGCAGTGGAGGGGGCAAGACCACTCTCCTGCAGGTACGCCTGCCTGCTGCTGTGCTGCCACGCTCCTGCCCTGTCTTACGCCTGCTGCGCTGCCTTAGGCGTGTTCTCAAGCTGCCTGCACCTTTACTGCCACTGCCCTGTCTCCTCCCTTCCCTGCTCCTGCCTCCTCCCCACTGTTCCTCCCTCTCCTTCTCCACACTCACCCTCTCCTTCTCCACACTCACACACCCACACACACACACACACGCATCTCCATCCTCTCACTCATTTCCTGCCACGCCCGCTTTCTCTTCCCTCCCATTCATCTTCCGAACCCATCCGCTCCTCTCAGGACTCACCACTAATAATACTCACAGCACCGTGGCCATGCTAGTTTCGGGACTTGTCTCAGCTTCTCCTCTTTCTCTCGCCCTCCTGCCACCTTTCCCCCTTCCCTTCCCAATCCTCGCCCTCTTTCTCATTCAACCCATGCTTATCCCCCCAACCCCATCAGGTCCTACCAGGCCTCACCACAGCCACTCAGGGCACCATACCATAGCCATGCCAGAACCATCCCAGCCTTCTCCCTCTCCGCCTCCTCGCGTCCTCCCTCTCACCGCCTTCACCCACCTTCTTTTTCTCTTCCTCCCCCAATGCCACCTCCCCACCATCAGCTCCTGTCAGGTCTCACCACAACAGCCACTACGGGCACCCTAGCCATGCCGGCACATTCCTGAATCCCTACCCTCCCTCCCACCCTTCCACCCCACCCCTTCTTTTTCTCTTCTGTCCCATGCTTTCCCTTCACGCCATCAGCTCCTGTCAGGTCTCACCACTGCCACCCAGGGCACCATCGCCATGCCGGCACCTTCCCCACCCTCCCTCTCCGCCTCCTCCTCGACCACGTCACCGCCCTCGCACGCCCTCATCCCTCTCTCCCGCGCCGAGCTTTCTGAGAGAGTCGGCCTCGTCTTTCAGTTTCCCGAGCGGTGAGTTCCCCCCCTTTGGCTCATCGCTCCCTTGCCCCTCCTCCTCGCTTGCCTCCCTCTCACCGCCCGCTCTCATCCCTTCTCCCGCGCCAGTCTGAGAGGCATTGTCGACATTGTTTTTCAGTTCACCGAACGGTGAGTCGCTCGCTCACACCCTTTTGGCCCTTCGTCCCCTACGTGCCGCATTTCCCCCTACGTTGCTGCTTCGCCATGCTTCTGCTGCTGCTGCCCCCTTCTTCCGCCCCCCTCTGCTCCCCCGTCACCCCACCCCCCGCTTCCCGCCCCCCCAGCTACTTCCTCACGGGCAGTGTGTTGCCAGAGCTCACATTCCGCTGGCCATAGCGCTGCCGCGTTCGGCCCTTCCTTCCCACCCACAGCCCTTTCCCCACCCATCCCCACCCTTCCCCACGCGTCTCTCACCTTTCCTCCAACCGTCTCGCACCCTTCCCCCACCCTTCTGCCTCCGCCCCAATCCTCCCAGCTACTTCCTCACGGACAGTGTGTTGGCGGGGCTCACATTCGGCTGGCCCTCGCGATTGGAGAACATCCCTCTCACGCAGGCTGGGCGTGGAACCCAATACCCCCGCTTCCCTGCCTGTCCCCGCCACCCCATTACCCCCCTTTCCCCCGTGCCCCCTTCCATCCCCCTCCCCCCCCAGCTACTTCCTCACGGACAGTGTGTTGGCGGAGCTCACATTCGGCTGGCCCTCGCGAGTGGAGGACATTCCTCTCAGGCAGGCGCTGGCTGCACGCGTGCAGGCTGCTCTCATAGCGGTGAGTGGTGGGGGTGGATTGCTGAGGGATAGAGTGGGGTGGGGTGGAGTGCGGTGGGCTGGTAAGCAGGCAGTGCACTGCAGTGTCACGAGTGGAAGGGGCATTCCGCTCTGACAGGCTTTTTCTGCCCACGTGCAGGGCAGCTCAGGGGTGGGGTGGGGTGGAGCTTGTTCAAGTGGAGTGGGGTAGGTTGGTGAGGGGTAGAGTGGGGTGGGGAGGAGTGGAGTGGGTCTATAAGCTGGCAGTGCACTGTAATGTCGCAGTGGAATTTGCTAAACACCAATCCGCGTGCACTCAGCTCGTCCCTCCCTCTGCCTCTTCCCTCATCACCCCCCCCATCCTCACCCCCCCCATCCTCACCCCCCCCATCCTCACCCCAGACACCTACACGTGGGCCTATTGGGTTGGGCGTGGCCCTCGGCACGGCACTAATCCTCGTGCTCTCAGCTCGTCCCTCCCTCTGCACCCTCCTCTCTCCCAATCACCCCCCTTATCCACGTTCCCTCCACCCCCTTAACACGCAGGTGCAGGTGGGGCTAATGGGAGTGGCTCTCGACACCAACCCGCGTGATCTCAGCCCGTCCTCACCCCGACATCCCTCCCTCCCTCTGCCTCTCCCCCACATACCTGCCCTCCACCCTCCCGACACCTATGTTGGAATATACGCGTTTAGTGTATATACGCGTGTCGTATATACGCTATCGTGTATACGCTATACGCTCAGGGTCAGTTTGGACATACGTTTTTTTGGGCAGGGGAAATTTTTTCCCGGGCAGGGTGAAAAAACCGTCGTGCTCAACATTGGGAAGGTAATCCCTATTCTAACTAAGATTTTCGTAGCATTTTCCTAAATCTGAATGGCGATTGGGGTGGGATGTGTACTAAACATTATCGCTAGAAGGAGTAGGAATCGGACTGTTGGAAGCGGGAAAGAAAACTAGAAATGACAAGTGAAGTTGGGCTGGCTGGTAAGTAGCGTGAGTGGGGTTGTTGGGGGGACATTTGACAGGTTGAAGTTCGTAGATGGGAAGGGTTTCAATGTGGTACTAATTGAAATTGTAGATCTGAACTGCCAGACGTGACTGATAACTTTGAAGGCAGATTCCTGCTTCCCTAGACCACCGAAATGCATCTCGACTTCGGCGAAATGCTCACCAGGAGATTCCGCATCTTTCCGTATACACAAGATTTTTTTTCTCGGGCAGCCCAAAAAAATCAGACTGCGTATAGCGTTTTAGTAGGCGTATAGCGTTTTGAGTATAAACGCAAGCGTGTAAACGCTATACGCTTTAGGGTCTGAGCGTATATTCCAACATAGCCCGACACACAGGTGGGGCTAATAAGCGTGGCTCTAAACACCAACCCGCGTGCCCTCTGCAGGGGCAACCAGCGCCGTGACCCTCCCTCTGCGTCTTCCCTCCTCACGAGTCAACCCCCCACCCTCGCCCCACCCTCGGCCCCATCCTCACCCACACACCTACAGGTGGGCCTCATGGGAGTGGCTCTAGACACCAACCTGCGTGCGCTCAGTGGGGACAAGCAGCGCCGCCTCGCCCTAGCCTCGCCCTCGCCTCGCCCCACCTCTGCCTCCTCACCCACCCCCACCCCTCCTCCCCTCACCCCACTCAACACACAGGTGGGCCTAATGGGAGTGGCCCTGGACACCAACCCTCGTGATCTCCTCCCCTTCTCTCCCCCGTCACCCCAACAATCACAGGTGGGCCTAATGGGAGTGGCCCTGGACACCAACCCTCGTGCGCTCAGTGGAGGCAATCAGCGCCGCCTCGCCCTCGCCATCCAGCTCGTCAGTGCCTTTCCTCTCCCTGCCGTCCCTTCCTTCCTGCTCGCACTTGAGTGGTAGAATAGAGAGACACTGTGTACTTGTTGGCCCCACGCTATGCTCTCAGTGGATCCAGCATGTGTCATCCAGCGCCGCCTCGCTCCCAGCGCCGCCTCGCCCTCGCCATCCAGCTCGTCAGTGCCTCTCCTTTCCATGCCTTGCTACACTTGTGATAAGCCGAGCAGCTACCGGTCAGTGTGCTCAACTGACGAGCGGTATGGTCAGTGTGCTCAACTGACGAGCGGTATGGTCAGTGTGCTCAACTGACGAGCGGTATGGTCAGTGTGCTCAACTGACGAGCGGTATGGTCAGTGTGCTCAACTGACGAGCGGTATGGTCAGTGTGCTCAACTGACGAGCGGTATGGTCAGTGTGCTCAACTGACGAGCGGTATGGTCAGTGTGCTCAACTGACGAGCGGTATGGTCAGTGTGCTCAACTGACGAGCGGTATGGTCAGTGTGCTCAACTGACGAGCGGTATGGTCAGTGTGCTCAACTGACGAGCGGTATGGTCAGTGTGCTCAACTGACGAGCGGTATGGTCAGTGTGCTCAACTGACGAGCGGTATGGTCAGTGTGCTCAACTGACGAGCGGTATGGTCAGTGTGCTCAACTGACGAGCGGTATGGTCAGTGTGCTCAACTGACGAGCGGTATGGTCAGTGTGCTCAACTGACGAGCGGTATGGTCAGTGTGCTCAACTGACGAGCGGTATGGTCAGTGTGCTCAACTGACGAGCGGTATGGTCAGTGTGCTCAACTGACGAGCGGTATGGTCAGTGTGCTCAACTGACGAGCGGTATGGTCAGTGTGCTCAACTGACGAGCGGTATGGTCAGTGTGCTCAACTGACGAGCGGTATGGTCAGTGTGCTCAACTGACGAGCGGTATGGTCAGTGTGCTCAACTGACGAGCGGTATGGTCAGTGTGCTCAACTGACGAGCGGTATGGTCAGTGTGCTCAACTGACGAGCGGTATGGTCAGTGTGCTCAACTGACGAGCGGTATGGTCAGTGTGCTCAACTGACGAGCGGTATGGTCAGTGTGCTCAACTGACGAGCGGTATGGTCAGTGTGCTCAACTGACGAGCGGTATGGTCAGTGTGCTCAACTGACGAGCGGTATGGTCAGTGTGCTCAACTGACGAGCGGTATGGTCAGTGTGCTCAACTGACGAGCGGTATGGTCAGTGTGCTCAACTGACGAGCGGTATGGTCAGTGTGCTCAACTGACGAGCGGTATGGTCAGTGTGCTCAACTGACGAGCGGTATGGTCAGTGTGCTCAACTGACGAGCGGTATGGTCAGTGTGCTCAACTGACGAGCGGTATGGTCAGTGTGCTCAACTGACGAGCGGTATGGTCAGTGTGCTCAACTGACGAGCGGTATGGTCAGTGTGCTCAACTGACGAGCGGTATGGTCAGTGTGCTCAACTGACGAGCGGTATGGTCAGTGTGCTCAACTGACGAGCGGTATGGTCAGTGTGCTCAACTGACGAGCGGTATGGTCAGTGTGCACTGACTGATGGTTTAGTGCACACTGACTGATGGTTTAGTGCACACTAACCGCTGACCGGTATGGTCAGCGGTTAGTGCTCTCTCCGCCTTTTGAGGCTACTTAAAAGTCCATCTTGAGCACATGACTGATGCGCTGAGCAGCACGTTTCTGTATGGTCACGCCACGCCAGTCCTTGTCACTGCATGGACTATGCTTACTTGCTTGCAAGAGTAGCAATGTCAAAGATGTTGCTTCACATCAGCCTTGGTTTCACCAGGATTTTTCTGAGCCCAGAAAGAAAGAAAGAAAGAAAGAAAGAAAGAAAGAAAGAAAGAAAGAAAAAAAACAAGCGAACAAACACACACACACACACACGCACGCACGCACGCATGCACGCACGCACGCACGCACGCACGCACAAACAAACAAACAAACAAACAAACTCAGCAGTAATAAGCTAAATTAACGATGACATGCTTCACTCAGCGTCTGCCTCCTTCATCCCTCCCCTTGCCACACCACGTTCCAAACCAACTGCTCGCACCTTCATCACAGGTTCGGATGCCGGAGCTGCTGCTGCTGGACGAACCTCTTGCTGGGCTCGGTATGTGTGGTGATTGATGAGGGGATGGAAGCACCTGGTCCCCGATGATCCATGATTGATTATCGGTGAACCTCAAGTGCCCGCCTGACTTATTTTTGAAAACTGTGACATGCATCAATAGTGCGCTAGCTGCTATGAGTCACGCGCCTGCTTCTCCAATTGCCTGCTGCTCCAATTGAAACGAAATGGTCGGATCGAAACAGCTGAAGGCTTTGTTTGTCAAATGACCATTGTTCATTCGACACCATTGTCTGATACTCTTCTTCTTCCTCCCTCTCTCTTCTGCCTTGCCTTTATTTTTCCTGCTCCCATTGCGCCCTTTGATCCCCTCTCTTTCTCGCCCAGACTGGAGGGCGAGGGCGGACGTGGTGAGGCTGCTGGCGGCACTTAAGAGGGAACGCTCCATCCTTGTTGTCAGCCATGACCTCAGGTGATTCTTCAGGGTCTTTTATGATACGAGTGGTTGTTTCAGGTGATGCTTCAGGATGTCGTATGCTTTTTATGAACCAAGTTGTTCCATATCCCCAGATTCACCATCTCCCTCATGTAATTCCTCAGGCAGGAATTCAGGCCCTCTCTGTTATCGGCTCCTGTTTCCAACTCTTTATTGTCACGTCTGTTCTGTGTCTCTCTGCAGGGAGCTGGCCCCATTAGTGGATCGCTCATGGCGGATGCAAATGGGGGGGCGGCTGAGGGAGGAGCCGCTACCAGCAGCCGTGTCTGATGATGAAGGCGACGTCAATTTTCCCTGGCGAGCATAAAAGGTCAACAGAAAGAAGGCATGTAGTGGCATCCCAGCACCTGCTTGTCTGGTGCGTAGTGTGGCAGAGTGAAGCTGAGGGAGGAGCCGCTACCAGCAGCCGTGTCTGATGATGAAGGCGACGTGAATTTCCCCTGGCGAGCATGATGTGAACGAGGAGTGGAAGGAGGGTTGGGTCGGGTTGGATTGGATGGATCAGCTGCTTGCCTAGTGCATGGTGCGGCGGAGTGAGGCTTGCATTTCCCCCGGCGAGCGTGAACAGAGGACTAAAGAGGGGCTGGAGTGACGTGTACCGGTATGTCTGCTGCATGTTTCCACGGGATCAGACCACCAGTGATGTGATGTGACGTATCAAACTGCTTTACACTACCTCTTTTGGGCAGGTTGCAGTAATATGTACGTGGTGTTTCTCTTGTTAACGAAGAGCTTGACATGGTGTCTGCAGTAAATCCGTAAGCTGAGACACTCAGGAATAAGTATGTGGAAATTTCCAACAGTTGTACGGTATACAGAATTGATGTTTTGGCCAGTGGTGAATGATAATGTCAAACAACTGTGCTGTTGTTTTGCAAATCTTTTCAGTAACGCGTATGCTCACATGCGTCCTGCACCAAGGGAATCCCTGTCAGGCAAGTCAGCCCGCGAGTAGTGGCACCTCCGACGCGTCTCGCGTCGTCTCGCGTCTCGCGTCCCGCGTTCCGTCTCCCGCCGCCGTACCTAGCATCCTAGTTGTCAGCTGCACCTTATGAGGCGCCTCTAAAGTCGTCTCCCGCCGCCGTACTAACACCCCTCCCGTCAACGCCACCACGCACGAGTGGTCATTCGTTCTCACGTTGCGACCATTCAAACCGACGACCGTTCTGTTCGAACCGACCCACTTTAACATCGATTCAGTCCCGTAAGGATTGAATCCGCCATGGACCAGTCGAAGCGCGTTCCAAGGGCGGGCGACGAGGAGGCCGTGGAGACGACGGGCATTGCGGCGGCCAATGCGGCGGCCAACGCGGCGAGCATTGCCGCGGGTGCCGCGGAAGGAAACTCAGAGGGGGGCGAGCGGGCGGAGAGGTCCGCGGAGCAGGAGGGGAAGGCGGAGGGAGGGGGCGGCGCGGTGGACGAGCTGAGGGCGCGCGTGGGCCGTCGGATGGCGAAGAAGATCAAGAAGGTGGTGGCGGCGGGGAAAGGCGACGCGAAGCACTACTACGACGTGTACGGCGCGCAGGTAAGGTGGGGGGAGAGAGGGTGGGAGGGGTATTCGGGCAACAATTGTGCTGTCGGGGAAGGGCGCCGCGAAACACTACTACGACGCGTACGGCGCGCAGGTGGGGGCGGGGAGGAGGGGACGGAGAGGGGGGGGCGGAGAGAGGGGGGGGGGTATTGAGCGGGCGGAAGGGGAGGTACCAGCAGGGGCGCCGTCACGGCTGAAGCACGGTGAAGCACTACTACGACAAGCACGGCGCGCAGGTGTGCCTCACTTCCTCCCCTCTCCCCTTCCTCCTCCTCTCCTCACCCCCCTCCCTCCACCTCCCCGCCCCAACCCACCCCACTTTTTCCCCTTCCTCCTTCCGAACCCCCTCCCCCTCCCCCTCACCCTTTCCTCTTCTTTCCGCTGAAAATGCCCGCTGCGTGCGTTTTCGTCCAGTAGAGAGCACTCCAACCATTCCGCCTCTCTCGCGCCCATCCCCCCCTCTTCCACTCCCCTCCATTTCCCGCATTTCCCCCCCACTCCTCCCCTCCGCCTTTCCTCTCCGTGCCCCCTTCCCCCTCAGGCGCGCGCCGAGCTGGAGCTGCACTGGCCTGTAGCGAAGCCGCCCAACTTCCCCCCATCTCCCCTCTCCCCCCCCCCCCCCTCCCCGCCCCTTCAGGCGCGGGCAGAGCTGGAGCTGCGCCCGCCTGTGGCCAAGGGCGCAGAGCAGCGCGCCAAGCACTCAGCTTCCCCCCGTCTCCCCTCTGCCCCTTCTTCCCCCCATGTTCTCCCCTTCAGGCGCGTGCAGAGTTGGAGCTGCGCCCGCCTGTGGCCAAGGGCGCAGAGCAGCGCGCCAAGCCACTCAGCTTCACTGTCAGTGCCTCTCTGTAACATGTGTCTGGGTTTGAGGGCTTTGGGATTTAGGGGTTTAGGGCTGAGGGGTTTGGGGACTGAGGGGTTCGGGTTTTAATGGCAAAAAGTTCGGGGATGGGATCCTGAATCTGATTTTTTGAGAATTCTAAAAAAAAAAAGCACATAGCTGACGAGATTCCCTCAGTAGTAGTAGCAGCACGCTCAACGCAATTGTATCCCGTATCCAGCCTTGCTAAGTCCATTCTTGCAGACGTCGCAACGTCTCAAGACATAGCATGTGAGATGCCCTTAGCAGCAACACGCTCAATTGAGGCGCCTCAAAAAAAAATTGAGGCGCCTCACAAGTCGTGAGCTGCCCTTAGCAGCAACACGCTCAATTCAATTGCATGCCGTCTCCAGCCCGACTAACTATTTCCGTGCCCCTCTGGTCTGCCTCGCCTGGTTTGGCAGGATGTGCAGGATTTGATTCTCTGGGTGCTCACAGGGGAGGTCAACCCGCAGTGGGCATTCATCAAGGTGGGCGGCATGTATATCTCTACATCTACATGTATTTCTCTACGTCGACATGTATATCTCTACATCTACATGTATATCTCTACATCTACATGGAAATCTCTACATCGACATGTATATCTCTACATCTACATGTTTTTTTTCATCAGAAGTATGTTTTCCATTTCCTTTCCCCTCCCGGAACCACTGGCCACTTCCCAATGCGGTGGTCTCTGACGCCTTTAACCTTGTTCCGCTCATCGTCTGCCTAAGCATGCACATCGGGTCAAAGGCACACACACAGCTGCATGCATGCACTCGCTTGCCGTTGCAGGGTACTACCAAGCAAACTGATTTTGATTCGTCGCGTTGAGATACAAGACACTGGCTTTATTGGAGCGTCATCAAGGCTAAAACAACCTTTGTAGTGTCCCTCCCTTTCAAGGCTCCCTCCCTTTCCCCCCTTCTCGCCCCCTCTCTCTCCTCGCCTGGCCTGCAGAACAAGCCGCTTGTATCAAGGGTGGTGGTGCTGCTGGTGCCCGGAATCGACGCCCACACCTTCCACTCCCGCCCGGACCTCTTCCCGAACCTGCACCGCTGCTTTGGCGGCAAATCTCTGCCATTGAAGGCTGTGAGGTAAAGAAGCATGCCCTCTCCTCGTGTCTCCTCTGATCCGACTTCCTCTCTTCATCCCCTCAACCCCCCAGGCACCCTTTTTTAGGCGCCTGGAAAATCCCCACGCCCCATTTTGAGGCGCCTGGAAAATGAAGGCTGCGAGGTAAAGAAGCGTGCCCTATCCTCGTGTCTCCTCCGACTTCCTCTCTTCATCCGCTCGACCCCACGCACCATCATTGCAGGTAGAGAGACGACTTTTAAGGCGCCTCAAAAGTCCACCCACCATTATGACCTCTCGTTCCTATCTTCCGCTCTTGGCCTCCGCCCCGCTCCGCCCTCTCCCCCTTCATCAGCCCACCTCGTGAAGACCATGGCTCTCATGGCCTGTTGCTGCTGCTTCTTGCCTTCCCTGCGTTTCCCTCTGCTCCGCTCACTACCCTCCCATCAGCCCATCAGCAACAGTGTCGGATACAATGAAGGCCATGTTCTCACGACCCGTTGCCCCCAAGGTACTCTTTACCGCAGGGTGAGGGTGTTTGGTAGGGGAAGGGTGATCGGCAGGGGAGAGATGATTGGCAGGGTGAGAGATGATTGGCATTGGGAGTAATGATGCCCCTATCACATCAGAAGCATGTGTCACTGCTTTTTTCTGCTGTCTAATAACAAGCCAGACAGAGCCCATATTATCTGACATGACACGGATCAAGTCAAATCAAATCGAATCAAATCAGACCACATGGGGCTGCCTTCGACCTGAATGATCTGCCATTTGCTACCCATTCTTCAACTTTTTGCTGCCCATGATTGTTTGCTTTATGCAATTCTTTGCAATAACTGCTTCCCTGCCGCCCACTTTTTCACCTCTTTGCCGCCCCCAGAAAACCACCAGCTCGTCCTCTGCCAGATCAGCAGCTGCCACGTCAGCACACGCGGACAGCAAGGCAGAAGCAGGTGGGACAAACGATGTGGGCTGTGAAATAAAGGAGGGGACGAGTAGGGGTGCGCAGGGAGGTGAAGTGAAGCAGACGAGTGAGAAAGATAAGGGGGATGAGAATGAGGAGGAAAAGGAGGAAGGGGAGGAGGAAGAGGAGGAGGAGGGAGAGGTATTCGATTCTGAAAGTGAAGAGGAAGGAGAAGGAATGGGAGAAGGGGAGGTGGAGAGGGAGGAGGGCGAAGAGGGAAGAGACCAAAAAGAGGGTGGTAAAAAGAGGAAGGCAGAGGTGCTCAGCGATGGGGGAGGGGAAGGAGAAGTAGAAGGGGAGGGGAGAAGCAGAAAGGCAATGAAGACAAGCAACGAGGGAGCAAGGAGGATGTGTGCTGCTGAAGGGCCCACCACACACACACCGGCGCCACCGCTTCCCTCCTCCCCATCCCCCTCCTCCTCACCCTCCTCTTCCCTGTCCTCCTCACTCCCTTTCAAGACCAAGCCCCCTCTCCCTCCTGAGCATTACCTGCTGACGTGGCGCCAGCTGAAAGAAAACAATTTTCCGCTGCCCGTGGTGGGAGGAAACAAGGGGCGAGACGGGCAGGATGGGAAAGAGGCTGCCCGGAAAGCAGGCGGCAGCGTCTCACTTGCTGATGGCTCGGCTGTTCCCCCTCCAGGTCAGATTGCAACTTTTCGAGGTCACATTTCAACAAACCCAGATCAGATCCCAGTAAATCTATGTCAGATTCTAATGATTTGAGCTCACATTCCACTCGTCCCTAGGCAGGTTTTTTAACTTGAGTCAGCTCCTTTCAATCTCTGAGCTGCCTCAAATCGTCTCCTTTTGACGCGTCCGCATGAGAAGGGTGCAGAGGCACGAACAGGGCCAAGAAGTACATGCGGCAGGGCTTTTGTGAGGCAGGGCTTTTGTGAGGCAGGGCTTTTGTGAGGCAGGGCTTTTGTGAGGCAGGGCTCAATCTGTGTGTGCCATGCATGCATGCAGGGTATGTAATGACCCGACCATGGGGCGAGGGGAAGAGGAGGGGGAAGGAAGTAAAAGGGGGAGGCAAGGAGCAGCAGAAGGAGTACCATCGGTTGGTGGCTGTTGACTGTGAAATGGTGAGTGTGATGCGGGGAGGGATGCAGACAGTGGGTGGGGAAAGCGGGTGGGACAGTGGGTGGGAAAAGCGGGTGGGACAGTGGGTGGGAGGAATGCAGACAGTGGGATGTTGACTGTGAGATGGTGGTGTGCTAAAATTCATTTTTTTTGTCACCCTCCCCAACTGCTCTCTCTTTTCTTCTTGATTCACCTTCCCCCATCTTCTCTCCTCCTGCTTCTGCACGTTCCCCGGCCAGTGCAACACCCACAAGGGTCTCGAGCTCACTCGCCTCACACTGCTGGATGCCCACGGCAAGGTACGACCAGGTGAGGCCAGGTTTGCTGCGGTGACAGCAGGTTTGCTGAGGTAAGGGCGGCCAGGTAGGAACACGTGAGGACAGGTAGGGACACGTGAAGGCAGTTACGACCCAAATAGGGGCAGCTAGGGACAGGTGAGGGCAGCTAGAAGGTATTATAGAGTCTCAACGACATTGGTCGAACGAGTGCATTCTTGGCAGTATTGAAGTGCACCAGTGCGTGCGTAAGGGCAGCTAGAAATTTGCTTCAAAGAGTGCGCTCAGTTCAGAATTGAAGAATGCCTGTGTGTGGTGTGACTACCCTGCCCGCTCTATTTTCCACTCCTGCCCCCTCAGGGCAGCAATTTCTGCTAGGAAATAGAGGGTAGCGATTGGTTGCTGAAGTAATGACTCCCCTGCCTGCCCCCTCCACCCCGTACACCCTCATCACTGCCCTCTACCGGCCCACCGGCCCATCGATACCCTGTTGCCTTGCAAGGCCCTCATACCATCCTGACTCTCTCCGTGCCCTCTTCTTGTGCCTCTCTGCCCTCTCTGCCCTCTCTGCCCTCTCTGCCCTCGCTGCCCTCTCTGCATTCCCTGCATGCACACCAGGTGCTATTAGACGAGCTGGTGAAGCCTGAAAGCCCCATCACCAACTACAACACGCAGTGAGTCACCAGCAAGCAACCAGCCCCACCAGCCCCACCAGCCCCACCACCAATCCACCACCAACCATCCCCCCCTCCACCCCAACCCCCTCTCATTGCTTATTGCAGACCTCACTCCATGCCAGAGTGCATCATTCTTTCATTCAATTCGAGTCATAAAGCCAATGCTTCAGTTCCTTCTTTCGCCCTTGCCCCACACCCCCCTTTCCCTTGCCCCACACCCCCCTTTCCCTTCCATCCACCCCACCCCACCCTCGCTCCCTCGCTTCTTCTTTGTTTCATTCAAAAATCTAGTTCGGTTCTTAGCAGCTTAGCAAAAAGAACCTTAAAAAAACTATATGCATTCCTCCCTCCCTCCCTCCCTCCCTCCCTCCCTCCCTCCCTCCCTCCCTCCCTCCCTCCTCTGTGTCATCTCAGGTTCTCCGGCATAACTCCTCAGATGCTGGCAGGGGTGACAACCACACTGCAGCACGCACAGGTGAGAAGGGGGAGTGGGAGGGGCGAGTGAAGGGGGCTAGTGAGAGGGGAGTGTGAGGGGTATGTAAGAGAGGGGTGGATGAGAGGAATGGGTGAGAGGGGCGGGTGAGAGAGATGGGTGAGAGGGTGAAGCTCCCTTGTACATTTACCATTTCTTCGACCCTCATTTCCACTTCATTTCCCGTCCTGTCCTCACCGCACAACTGCCGCACTGCTCACATTCCCCCCTCGCTTCCCAGGAGTGCATCTGCCCCCTCCTGGTCCCTACCCCTCCCCACTTCCCCCTTCCCCACTTTCCCACTCCCCACCTTCATGGTCCGTTTTCCTTACCCCTTCCCGCTCTTCCCCCCACCTCCCTCATCAGGAGCATTTTCTCGGCATGGTCAGCGCTGAAGCGTTCCTGGTGGGCCATTCCACACAGAGCGATCTGCATGCAGCTTCTGATGCACACGTCTCAACCCCACTTTCTCCCTCCCTCCCTCCTCCACCACTTCCCCACCCCCTCCCCCCTCCTCATCAGGAGCATTTTCTCGGCATAGTCAGCGCAGAGACCATCCTGGTGGGCCATTCCACAGAGAGCGATCTGCATGCAATCCGGGCCGTCCATCTGCGTGTGATCGACACATCGCTGCTCTTCCCCCACCCCCGCGGGCCGCCCTTCAAGTGTGCTCTGCGCTTCCTAGCAGCAGACTACCTTGGCCGGACCATTCAGGCTGGCTGGTGGGCGGGGAGGGGCGGGGCGGAGGGGCGCGGAGGGAGGGGAAGGAGAGGGGGGATGAGAGGTGGATGGTCGTTTCACAGGGGTAGGGGTGGCCCTGGCGCTGTTGGTGCTGACAGTGCCGCTTCTGCTGCTGCTGCTGCTGCTGCAGGGGCAGCAGCGGTGGTGGCGGTGGCAGGTGGTGTTCGTGATGTTGCAGCTGGTGCTGGGGGTGGTTACCGCAGGAGTAACACGTGGAGCCGTAGTGCTCAAAAGCCGGTTGCAGCAGCACCGCCGGCTACAGCAGCAGGAGGAGTGGGTGGTGAGGGCGACGCAGCAGCAAACGGCGTGCAGCATGAGACTGCGCGTGGGAGCACTGCAGGTGAAGCAGCAGAAGTAGCAACAGCAGCAGCAGCAGCAGCAGGAGCAGCAGTAGGAGAGGGAGCAACAGCAAGAGAAGGAGCAATGGAGGGAGCAGCAGCGAGAGAGGGAGCAGCAGAGGAGCAGCAGGGAACAGTGTCATCGGACAGCGCAGGGCATGACAGTGTGGAGGACGCCCGGGCTGCTCTTGACCTTGCTCTGCTCAAGATACAACATGGTAACATGGTAACGCAGTGATGCGGTGCACTAACGTAACATGGTATTCGATTAACATGATAAGACAGTAATGTGGTAACATTGTGGCACTGTAGTGTTGCCCTAGGTTACCATGGTAACACCAAAACATCGTTGACTTTTATGAACGTCTCGTTATAACACTGTAACATGATACACGGAGGTGGTATTCATTTGTTTTGTCCTCACCCTTGAGCTCTCAGCTATTTCACTGCCACTACGTCCTACGTCCCACCTTCCCACCCACCTCCCACCCAATCTCCTCCTCCCTCCCTCCCTCCCTCCCTCCCTCCCTCCCTCCCTCCCTCCCTCCCTCCCTCCCTCCCTCCCTCCCTCCCTCCCTCCCTCCCTCCCTCCCTCCCTCCCTCCCTCCCTCCCTCCCTCCCTCCCCCCCCCCCCCCCCTCCCTCCCTCCCTCCCTCCCTCCCTCCCTCCCTCCCTCCCTCCCTCCCTCCCTCCCTCCCTCCCTCCCTCCCTCCCTCCTCCCTCCCTCCCTCCCCCCCCTCCCTCCCTCCCTCCCTCCCTCCCTCCCTCCCTCCCTCCCTCCCTCCCTCCCTCCCTCCCTCCCTCCCTCCTCCCTTCCTCCTTCTCAATCCCTACCCTCCTGTCTGTTGGCTTTCTCTTTCATCCCACACCATTCACCAAACCTTTTGCCCCTCCCTCAGGTTCACACGTGGGTTTACCTGGAAGGGCATCCAAGCTGCACCACACAGAGAACCTTCTCTCAGACCATCTTCCCAACTCACTTACCTCTTTTCCTCTCACACCACCCCTCATCTCATGCCCCTCCATCACACCCCTCCCAGGTGCGCACTTTGGCCTGCCTCGGAGGTCCTCCAGGCTGCATCACACGGACAACATTCTCTCTCACACGCCGCTCTCAAGCCCTCTGCCCAAATCAACTACCTCCGTCCCTCTCACATGATCCTTCACATCCCCTCCCAGGTCCCCACTTTGGCCTGCCTAGAAGAGCCTCAAAGCTGCACCACACGGAGAACATTCTCACGCGCCTCTCCTCCTCCGGGCGGCGCTGCACCGTCGTCTTGCACGCGCAAGCTGCCAAAGCGGACCTCTTTCTGGGCGGCAACTCCAACTCCACGTCGGAGATTCTGTGCCTCAAGCACGGGGACTTGGGGAAGGTTGCGAGCAGAGAGGTAGGGTGGAACCCCAGACGGGACCCATAGTCTTTACGTGGCAGCAACTAGGTTCAACTTGTAAAAATTCTTGGGGAAGATTGCGAGCAGAGAGGTACGGCATGGCAGATTGCAACAGAAGGCTGGTTGAGTGATTGTAGCTTCTCTTCTCCTCCCTCCCTCCTGCTGCATTCCCATCAACCCTCTGCTTCATTTTCCCTCCCCCTCTCTCCACCTCTCTCCCCTCTATCCCCCCTCTCTCCCCCCTCTTTCCCCTCACCCTTCCCCATCTCTCTCCCCCTTTTCCCTCTCCCCCCTCTGTATACAGGCGTGCAAGCCATCGCTCAACCTCCTCGTCGCCACCTTCCCATCCCTCATGGCCTCCCTCTCCGCCCGCTGCTCCTCCCTCGCCTCCATGCCTCGACTCGCCGCTGCCCTTTCTGCTCCCATGCCATCGCCAGCACCTGCTTCCGGACCTGCATCCGGACCTGCATCCGAACCAACTCAACCTGCATCCGAGCCTGCTTCCGAACCTGCATCAGAGAAGCAGCAGCAGCAATTGGCACCTGCGCATCCAGCCGACTGTGCTGTGGAGGAATCTTCCAGGAAGGTGGACGCACAGGTGGGGCAGATGCACGAGGCTCTGCCGCCCAACACTCTGCTGCTCGTCGTCACTGGGTGCGGCGACACGCCAGCTGTCAGACGGTGAGTGGTGGGTGCGGCGACACGCCAGCTGTCAGACGGTGAGTGGTGGGTGGGAGGCACGCCAGCTGTCAGCCGGTGAGTGGTGGGTGGGAGGCACGCCAGCTGTCAGACGGTGAGTGGTGGGCGGCGGGTGGTGAGTCCGCCAAGGATGGTGAGTGGTGGGTGGTGGGTGGGTGGGTGGGTGGGTGGGTGGGTGGGTGGGTGGGTGGGTGGGTGGGTGGGTGGGTGGGTGGGTGGGTGGGTGGGTGGGTGGGTGGGTGGGTGGGTGGGTGGGTGGGTGGGTGGGTGGCTGATGCTTTGAATGCAAGCTAGCTGTGAAGACAGTGGTCGCCTCGCCAGTCCCTTTGTCTCGGCCCACCTGCCTGCATTTGCTGCCCAGTTGGATGATGTTGATGCTCTTGAACCGCATTGCACCGCCTCATTCTCCTTAGTTCTCCCTTCTCTCCCACGGCAGCATGATGGAGTGGCGGTGGAAGCGGCAGCAGTGGAGAAGCACGGGCATGGACCCCTGGGATGAGCGCCTGGACACTCTCTTCACTCTTGTGCACCTATGACCCTTGTACCGCATTGCACCCCTTCCTTCTCCTTTGGTCTCCCGTCATTCTCACTCGCCCCAGCATGATGGAGTGGCGGTGGAAGCGGCAGCAGTGGAGGAGCACAGGCATGGATCCCTGGGACGAGCACCTAGACGCTCTCTTGAACTGCATGCAGGAGCGGGCCTCTGCTGCCCTGTTATTGGCCGCTGTGAAGCAATGAGTCTGCCTTGGTAAAAGGTGACCGTTGAGTTGAGTCAACCTCCAAAGGGGAACGGGAATGGACCATTAAAAGAGCAGAGCGCTCTTGGAGAATCAGAACAGATTGATTATGTTGGCCGGCAACAGAATTACGACCAATCGTAACCACTCCAGCATTCGTACCAGTGCAAAGAGTGAAATCATGAGGAATTCACAGATGCAATAGTGCAATAATTCACAAATTCACATACCGTCAGTCCCCGGATAGAAGCGCCCCTGGGGGTATAAAAAAACACTGTTTTTTAGGGGGTGGGCTTATAATTGAGGATTTTTATAAGCGCCGGCGTTTATATAACGGCAAAATGAAATTAAGTTTTTTTAACACCAAACTGTAGATCTCGTTCTGCCCATTGTAATCGAGTCGAAAATATATGGGGTCGCGAATCTGATTCTCGCGCAACTTGGCAGGGATTGATTTCCTGCCAACACATGCGGACTAAGCGACAGCACGTGCTGACTAGACGCGCAGCAAGTGTGATGTGAGTGGGAAACTGGAACTGTACTTCGCTTTCCTGGTAAGGTGAAATTCGTTTCTGTATTTCGACTGATTTTCAGATAAAAAAATCGGCATGCGCTTATAATAAATCATGAATTTTTAGGGGGTGCGCTTATAATCGAGGACCGGATATAAGCGCCCTCATCCTTTTATAAGCGCCGGCGCTTATCCGAGGCCTGCGCTTCTATCCGGGGGCTTACGGTATGTAAAGTTGCCGCACAGTGCCGCCTATAGGACCTGGGGGACCAGTGCCCTAGATATCAGCCTTTTTACACTGATTCAGCGTTAGATCGGACTTTTTTTTAAGGGTAAGGCAGGGCCTATGATATCAGGGTAAAATACCCCGATTACCCTGACTTCAGGGTTCAGTTAGTACCCCTGCCCTGAAGTTACTAGATGTCTGTAGTGAATGCCTTGAGATTTCATGATGTTTGTATTACTGAAATTTCGCGCCGGAAACACGCGAGTCGCGACCCCACCACCCACGCGGGGCAGCTTACAGCTGTGCAGCAGGTGTGGCTGCACAGTAGTACCCCGTCAAAGCTGTAGCCTGTAGTGAGGCATGTCATGTGGGGTACAGCAGTTAGGGTTAGGTTTATGTACCCCAACCAACCTTAGTCAAACCATCATTCAAATCTGTTATTGACATGGTATCACCTAGGTTAGGATTCTGTGCGATCCCGTTCCTTCTGCCACCCGTAGCACCCTACCGTCGAGCCCGTCCTGTACACTAGAGCCCGTTGTGCCCGTTCCGTTCTCTAGCGCCTGTCGCGCCCGTCTAGTGAGTTCCTGCGATCAAGACCCGCTATGCTACTCCCACCACTGTCTCTCTTGGTCGACTGTTCCTCCCGTTCCTGTTTCCTGACCTCGCCTCGTTTGAGCGTTCTGCTGACTTGATCGCTCACTTGCGCTCGCTCGAATCTAGTTTCCGCGCTGCCTACACTGACGCCCAGCTTGCACTGCTCCCTCCCCCCATGGCGATTACTATTTATTTCATCGCCACTAGCCTCCCTGACCGCCTTGCCTCGGTTCGTGACGCGCTTCTTCTGAAGCACCCTAGCGAGCTCACTATCGAGGTCCTTGAGTCTGCCCTCAAGGACGTCGAGAGCAACCTCCGCTCGGTAGCCTCCGCCTCTGGCGCTGTGCCCCCTCCACTGTTTCACGGGTGCACTGTCCCTCAGCTGCCCACCTTTACTGCCTCCCTCGCCACTGTTGTTACTGACGTGACCGCAGCTGCTGTTACGACTTCTTCGCGGTCTAGGGGTAGGAGTGGCAGGAGGGGCGGTCAGGGTGCGGGCGGAGGCGGCGGAGGCGGCGGAGGTGGCGTGGCGAGCGGCGGTGGCGGGAGTGCAGGGGTTGGAGGAGCGCCTCGTGCAGCGGCTAGTGACTCCCCTGCTGCAGCTGGTGGAGGTGACGCTCGGGTTCGTCAGGCACCTGCTGGTCTACCAGCTGCAGGTGCTGGAGTGGCGGCTTGGTACCTGACTCAGCGGCAGCAGCAGCAGCCACTCCTCTCGCAGCAGCCACAGCAGCAGCAGAGGCAGCAGCAGGTTCCGGGGCAGAGGTGAGGACTGTGTCAGCTGTCGCGCGGTGTCGTCCACCCTCCCTGCACCTACCTCGTTCAGAGAAGTACTCGCCGAGGCCTCCCCTGTGGCCGCAGCCACCCACCAGGTCAGTGCTTTGCTCAGCTCACTGACACACTTCGTGCGGCCTACGGCGTTGAAGGCCCTGCCCCTGACTGGCTGCCCCTTGTTCAGACGTACGGCACCGCTCTGTGGGGCATGTCTGCTTCTCAGTTGCTTGATCTCTTAGGAACTCCTCATGCTATGTATGCTGTTGTTGACTCTAGTGCTTCTGACTCTGTTTACTCGAGTGTTGTTAGCTTAGGTGCTAGTGTTGCTGAGGTGCCTATTAGTGTAGGTATCTGTGTAGACACTAGTCCAGGAGCTGCTACGGGGGACGCTTTGCTGTCTTTCACATTGGTCTCCGGAGCTTCGCACTGTTTCTTCCGCGACCACACGACGCTTACTCCGCTTCCTGCGCCGGTCTCTGTAGCACTGGCTGATCCCACTTCGGGACCAGTCACTGTTCGTTACACTACTACGCTTCCGTGCCCAGCTGTTCCCTCGGGTTTCCTGACGGGCTTCCACGTCCCCTCGTTCTCCAGGAACTTGGTGGGTGTGAGGCCGCTCGTGAGTAGTCACGTGGGTGTTTGGATTAAGCCTCCTGGGGAGACTGCGGTTTGTGTAGACGGTGACACGTACACTCCTCTGGCCACCGTTACTGCTGAGCCGGGCTCTGGTCTCTACACACTTCACACTGGCCCTCAAGGGCAGCAGTAGCAGCAGCCGCAGCAGCAGCAGCAACAGCTACTGCCCCGGACCCCTGTCACTGTCCCCCGTCATTTCCTCGCGTCTCACCAGGTTGCCACGTCTCACCAGGTAGCTGTGTCTGGTCAGGTTCCCGTGTCTGGTCCAGTTGCTGCGTCTTGCTCCTGCCGGTCGCTTGCCCACCCCACCGTTCTGTGGCACCACCGGCTGGGGCACCCGTCCATTCCTCGCCTGCGCGCTATGTCTAGTCAGCGTCTTGTCTTAGGCCTCCCGCGTGTCTTGCCGTCGCTGCCGTCGCCGCTTGCACCACCTTGCGGTCCCTGCGTCGAGGGTCGGCTGCGCGCCACCCCTCACTCCTCCTCCCTTCGTCCAGCCACCGAGCCCTTTGAGACTCTCCACTTGGACGTCTGGGGCCCCGCCTCTCGCCCTGGCCCTGAGCGCGAGCGTTTCTTTCTGGTGGTCGTTGACGACTACTCCCGCTACACCACAGTGTTCCCCCTGGCGAAGAAGTCTGAGATGAATTCTACGCTGATCAGGTGGTTACTTACCACTGCAGACACTCGTGATCGTCGTGTCAGCTGTCTTCACACCGACCGAGGGGGTGAGTTTCGCTCCGGCGTTCTCGCTGGATTCTGTCGCGAGCAGGGCATCCGTCAGTCCTGGACGCTTCCAGAGTCCCCACAGCAAAATGGGGTTGCTGAGCGCCGCATAGGCTAAGTCATGGAGATAGCCCGCACCTCCATGACTCACGCCCGTGCCCCCCATTTTAAGTGGCCCTACGCGGTTAGGTACGCCGCTCACCAGCTGAACCTCTGGCCACGTGTCTCTCGGCCAGAGGTTTCACCGACCAGTCTTTGGACCGGGTCCCCTGGTGTTGCGTCGTGTTTCGTGTCTGGGGTTGCTTGGCTCTTGTTCGCGACACCTCCGCGGACAAGATCTCGCCTCGCATTGTTCCCTGTGTCTTCCTTGGTTTTCCTGTGTCTCCCTGTGTCTGACTTCACCTTTTACCACCCTCCCCTTCACTGGTTTTTTGGCACCCGTGACGTCCGTTTCGACGAGTCCGTCCCCTACTACGTCATGTACCTCTATCGAGGTCTCCCGGTTCCTCCTCCCCCTCTCTTCCTGACTTCCGCTCCCCCTTCTGCTCCCCAAGTACAGCCTCCCCCCTTGGTCCAGCCCCGTCAGGTGTGTCCCACGCTACCCCTCCCCCCTCGGTAGCCCCTCAGGTGCAGCCTCCTTCCCCGCAGTCCTCCTCACAGCCTACTGCAGACCCTGCGGGAGCCGGTGTTCGTGGCGAGGACACTGGAGAAGTTGGGGTTGGAGCAGAGAGCGTACCTGTCCGGGGTCCTGGTTCTGGGAATGCTGGAGTTGGAGCTGAGCCCGTGCCTGCAGGAGCCGCTAGTCTTCGGGGACCTGGTGTTAGTCGAGCTGTCCCTGGGGGTGCTACGACTGGGGGTGCGCCCTCTGCTGGACCTGGAGAGCCTGGGACTGACCCTGTTACTTCTGGTGGTGCTGGCTCTGGGGGTGGTGCGGCTGGTGCCTTGGAGAGCAGTCCTGGGGCTGCCCCTGCCCCGGACACTACTCCGCGCCCGCACCCCTACTCGAACCGGCACCAGGCCTGTCTTCGCCGTGCGCGAGAGGAGCAGCTGGAGTTGGAGAGAGAGAGCCTAGAGTTGGAGCGACAACTGCTGGAGCTACGGCAGTTGGAGGAGCAACAGCAGCAGTAGCCGGAGGAGGAGGAGCAGCAGCAGCCGGAGGAGCAGCCGCAGCAGCAGCAGCAGCAGCAGCAGCCGCAGCTGGAGGAGCAGCAGCAGCAGCAGCAGCAGCAGCCACCGCTGGAGGAGCAGCAGCCGGAGCCGCAGCACGAGCAGCAGCAGCCGCCACCTCCTCCTCCTGTCTCTGGTCTTCGGACCCTCGGTCTCCCCTCTCCCTCTCCTCCCTCCTCCCCCTCTCCTCCCGTCTCTGGTCCTCCGCTTCCTCCTCCTGACCCCTCCCCAGCTGTTTTCCCTCGTTCTCAGACTTCGTTGTCCCCTCCTCTTTCTCACACTTGGGCTTCTCGCTCTCCTCGTGCTCGTCCCTCGTCCCCTGTTCCCGTCACTGACCTTCGTACTGCCCTATTCCGTTCTAGTCCGCCTCGTT